TTTTCAAATTAGATATATTTTTAATAATCTGCTTTTATAGATGTAATGGGTGCTTTGCGACTCTAATTTTAGTAAATTCATAATAATTGTATTATTTCGATTTTCTAGTGTTTTTAATATATTGCATAAAAATAACTTTATGACGAGGATTGAGGACTATTAGAAAATAATGTGATGTTTGAATTTTATAAAAGACATGACTAGATCAAGATTGGATGAGTTGAGACTGAAACCAAGTAGTGACGATTGTCTTGGCTGATCAAGATTTTGCAGTGATAGTGGAAGATTTGGTTATGCTTCGCATGTGATGTTGAAAACGCCTTTTTCATCAAAAGGAGAATGTATGTAAATTGATTTGGTGTTGAGGATTAAAATGATGTTGTAAGATAAGAAACCATCCAATATTTATTTGTTGTATGTATTTAGAGAAGATATGATTGTGGGACTCATTGGCTTGATCACACTAGTGTTATGCAGGGACGTCCATATATGCCCCCAACTCCCTCGAGTCATCATTCTAATCCAATTATCCAAACCTTAACCCAACATAGAATCCATGTTCGTGCCAATAACCTTCATGAGGAAGAGGATGTAATAAGGAACAAGCAAGGACAATAAAATATGTGAAAACGACAATGGTCCGGCTTCTCGAGGTAGAAGTGTCCTCCAGAGAAGAAAACACTTGTTAAAGTGCTTGAATGTCAAGATTTTGTAGTCACCTAGCACCGTCGCGACTAACTTCACATACATTGGTGTTGATGGCTAGTCCGGATATTCGCTGACCATTGTCATCCATGTGAATTTGCAAAACTCTGCAGATAAACCATTTCTCATTTTGCACTTATCGAAGAGTCTGAGCATTGCTTCTCAACTTGCACAACTTCGTTTACTACAGTTTGTATTAACATTTTACCTATTTTGTATCAAAGTTCAAAAAGTTAAAACATAATAATGTGAAAACTATTAATTGCTTGGTAGGTCATATAGTCAAATAACATCCCAACCACAAGTACTATTGAAATTAAATTTAGATATATATATATATATATATATATATATATATGTGTGTGTGTAAATACACGATAATACGGAAAAAATATATTATGTGAAATTATATTATTTTAATTCACATTTTTTGACTAATGCACCAGTTTAACTTCGTTACTACAACAAATGCACCGGTCGCAATAGCGATATTACTTCACATTAGCGGTAATTGTATTTACTTCAATTGGTGCTCCTTAAAAAAAAAAAAAAAAAAAATTGAAAAGAAAATAGTAAAAAGAAATTCGAAATCAAATGAAAATGATCTCGTTTATTTTGTAGATTAAATGTGATGTTAATTGCAATTTTGTATGCGGATTGAAAACAAATGCATACTTTGCATTGCATGATGTTATTCATAAGACCATAACACAATATGAGTTATGTTAATCTACAATAACCAAAATCCAATCTTGTCATTCAATGATTTTAATTGGAACACTTGTTTTGTTTATTTGGTTCAACCCTTGAACTTTGTAGTGTATAACCTAGGCTTCGTTTCTTGACCACAAAAAAATATTTTAAAAAATATAAATCTTTGAAGTGATCTACAGAGACAGTACAAAATTTAGTAATTAAAGTAACTGCAAAGTACTCAAGTTCTGATAAATTAATGCCCATTGGGATTCTCAGGTGACGTCGTCATGCTAACGTCGTTTAGAGTATTAAAAATAAAACATAAAAACATTATTACGTTTGATGATTTTTCTCTGCACAAATCTTTTGCTTAGTGAGAATCCACCGAGTTTGCCGTCAGTTGATGTAACGGCGTTTCTCGTTCTTCACAAAACTCCGTACTTGTTCTTCTTCAGAAACTGATATCTACTCATTTCCCATCCACTCGCGAGTAACCTCCACGCGCTCTAATAAAATTGTTTTAATTAGGGATCCTCCTAACTAATTCAACATCTAGAGAAAAGCAGCTACACTCAATTGGAAAAAATGATGATTTGTGTAAAGCAATGTTATAATCATCGAGAAGAACTGTATTACACGACCTAAACAATAATTATAATAGCAAAAATAAAAAAGGGAGAATTATGGAAATAGAAACCATATTTCATGGTACCAATACTATATTTTGGCACATGGAAAGATAAATCCAACTCACTTCTTAAAGTATAAATCACATCAGTCATTCGATGCTTTTTTCTTCTTCTTTTAAATTGAACCGATATATATATATATATATAGATAGTTTTTTTTTTGCTCGTAAAATCAAATTAAGTAGATTGCATTAAATTAGACTAATAAATGGTCATATCACAACATAAATGACAAATCCACACCACATGTTCACGACTATATTATGTTATGTTCCATCAAATCCAACTTAGCATCTAGGTGTGAAAAGCTAACTGATACTGTATTAAAATTAGAAGAACATGTGTTCTTGTTACTTTAGAACATAATTTATCGAAAATTTGAACTAAGGAATTACTAACAATAACATTATCGAGAAAAAAAAAGCAAATAATTAGCTACAAGCAAGAATGATGTGCACACAACAAAAGATAATGCATGATAAGATTCACACAGAGAAAATAAATCAAACGATATTGATTCTAACGGCATGATGGTTTCTGTCTAATTTTGACAAGAACTTATAAATTATAATAAAAATCAGTCGAGATAATCTTTAGACCCTAATCTTTATTGTATCATTACTCTTTCATTTGGTGTAATAGAATAAAAAACTCTTTGGGTCTAAAGATTAGTTTCTATTTTTGTTCTTGTAAAAACTAAAATGAGGAAAAGTAATTTGGTCATGTCATAAATGTAATATGTAAATAAAACTGACAATAAATACTATTTGGGATAATATTTTCCATTCTTTTTTAAAAAACAAAAAAAAATTTGGGCCCATATAGGGGTAGTAGTACAGAAGAATCACTGTGATGACGTCACCTGTTAGGTTGCGTGACTCCTGGGCGCTGTTTCTGTATTACGCTATCTTCCAATGCTCTCTTTTTTTTTTTTTCTCTCACATTTTATTTCATCTACTTGTTATATAATTCATTTTCTTGATAGTTTACTTTCATAGTTTGGTAATACTTTTTTGTTTTAAAAAAAAAAATTAGGCTGGATTTTACAATTGATCAGAAGCGGCAGAAATTCCTAATAATAATCTTTTACCAAAAAAAAAAAAAAACAAAAAGAAATTCTAAATATTTTGTAAAATATTTACATTATTCATCAAAAGCACCAGTGGTCTAGTGGCATGATAGTACCCTGCCACGGTACAGACCCGGGTTCAATTCCCGGCTGGTGCATATATATTTTAAATTTTATTTAAATATTTCATTTAACGTTTTGGGCTTGGGTCTAAAAAAATAAGGAGCCCAATAGATTTTTATTTTTTTTGTGTGCGAAAGGAGCCCAATATAGATTTTTTTTCTTAAATAACGAAAGTCAAGTCAATAACTTTATTCTTCTTTGACATATCAATTCAATTTCAATGAAAGATTATTTTTTCTTATTCTTGCTGCAAACCAAATATATTGCTTGCTTGAAATTTTAACTATATTACTAGTACTAGTTTAATTCTAAAAATCTTGATGAATGAGATGGAGTGAATAAAACCTTGAGTCTCGAAAAAAAAAGAAAACTTGAGTCTAGTAAATTGAGAAACATTACAAATTTAGGATCAAGAAAGATCCTTTGTACTATTAGAATCTCGAGACGAGAATAAGGAAACGTGTCATAGTTAGCAGGTTTCCCGACGTATCTTCCGCATCAAACCAAGTTCCCAAACAAATATGTTCACATTGACACTACAGTTTCTAATACAAGAATACAAGTTTTTGATTGTTATTCAAAACACTATATATGTGTCAAATCTAAATCTCAACTCAATTTTTTTTTCAGTCCTCTAGTAGACGGACCTAAGTTAAAAAACTGAATTTGATTGAAAGGCAAATAGAAGTGGAGATGATCGGCCCACTCCAGATTTTGAAACTATCTTTCACATCTCGAAACCTTAAAATATATATGAAAACAAAATGAAGTTGGAAAAAAGGAAAAAAAAAAGAAAGAAGAAACGTCTCATTCATTGCGAAGAGATTAGATATTATTCGAGAGGTCAAGTTCAATGTTGCAGCCGACAATAAGAAAAGAGATAAGGTCTTCTCGTTTGTTTGTTTTTTAACTGTCACGTGAAACTGATATCCACAAAGAGCGAATGAGAGAGACGTAGAAGAGTCAAAGATTAAAAACCCAACGAACTTTGACTCATCCTTTAAGGTCATGTTCGTTAATTATCCATTTTTAATTTGGTGTGACTCGTGGCATGTGGCAACTAACCGACCTTCAGATAAGTTTGGTCCTACTTTCTTATTCAATTACCACGTGTCGATCGTTATATCAGACACCTCGAGTGGGACTTGTATGTTAGTAAACTAGATAACGGTAATAGATACAACCCTTTTTCGTAGCAGAAGTATTTACAGGTTCTCCGGGAAAATATGTTGGTCTACGATGACATTGACATGAAATCATATTCCAACTATCAAGTTTCTACCCTAGTCGAGTATTGTACATTGATATTGTTACCATTTACATATGCAATAATGCAAATCAAATTTATACAGTTGTCTAATTGAATTACTTCACCCTAGAAGAAGTAACACCGACCGAGAAAATATACCAATCCGATCGGTGACACAAATCGATAAAAACTTTGTTATTAGCAAAATTATAAGTAAACAAGAACGTGGCTTTTTTTGGGGCATTTTTACTGTTATTTTATTTATTAGTATTGGACTACAAAATAGTTACAGTATAAAAAAAAACCATACACGTCACTGATGACACTATAAATGTCTAAATGTTTATAAATTGAAAACAAAAAATGTTGTATAAAAATTCGTTTTAACCTTTTTTTTGTTGTTGTGTATAAATATAATTTAGTAATTAGTGAACAAATTTGCAGTAGATAACTTTCATCATCCATCTATAAATTCTCGAGACCGACCCACCATTTTGCTTCCCCTTTCCTCTCGCAATCTTTCACAGTTGTCTCTGTATTCATCCTTCGTATAAACCGATACATACATATCTCTCTCCATACTTGACGCAGATACATATACATATAATAGCTGAAAGAGTGGTTTTTAGAGCGACCAAATCAATGGAAGGAAGAAAGAAGAAAGCTTCCTCTTCTTCCTCTTCTTCCTCATTAACATTAACCTCTGAGCTTTTTGGTTCCAGAGAAAACCCTTCTTCTCCTTCTCCTTCTTCCTCTTCTGGTATTTTCGGATCCATTTTCCCTCCTCCTTCTCAGGTAATTAAAGCTTCGATTTTTTTCTCTTTTCTGGTATTCTTTTCGATTTCGATCGCGATTGTTAAAAAATTCGAATTTTGTTGGGGATAATAGAATTGGGATTTTTTAGGAATTAGGGTTTTCGAAATCAGATGATGATGAATCTGATTTGATTGATGGTTTTCAATTTCGTATTTCAGATTTTTGAATTGTTGTGAGTTTTTGTTTGTTGCAAATAATGGATTTTTTGAAAAAGGAGATTTTTAAATTATTGAAGACCCCACAAGCCCCAAATTAAGAATAAGAACACTGAAGATGAAGGAGAATTTCATGATTCGTGTCTTGGAACACAAGTTTCTCTCCATTAAGAAGAATTTGATACTAGTATTCTTCTTGATTTAGAAATTTCTGGGTTTGTTCTTGTTTCAGGTTCTGGGAAGAGAATCTATGCGACAGGAGACTGTGGCTGGTGCCTGGAACGACAAAACCTCCAAGACTGGTAAAACAACATCTTTTGATAAGTCTTTTGTTATGTATTTTTTTGTTAATAGTTGAAGATTTTGCAGGTGATGTTGATAGAAACAGGGAACAACAGGAGAATCATGGTTCAGGTTATCAGGATCAGAGAGTACAACCTTGTCATCTGAGTTCTTCCATCTATTACGGTGGCCCAGATGTTTATTTCCAGCCTCAGAATTCCAGCATCAACTCTACGGTAATCGAAAGTCTAAATTATCCCGGAAAATGCTAGAAACTTGATATATAGCTGTTATATACTCTTGTGGAACTTCTGATGACCTTTAAGGGATTTAGAACTGAAGATATTGCGCTATTTTATCGATTATATTGTCTTTGAAGCATCTGGCTGAAGAATCTAAAGTCGAATTACGAACTATATATATGTAGCTGTTTTGTAGAGTTAGTCTTGTGAAGCTTTTGATGAGTTTTAAGGGTTTTAGAACCAAGGTTATTGCGCTTGTTCATTGATTATTGTTTCTAAAGAATATTTTTGGGTATGTTTTCTCTTTTTGAAGAACAAGAAAGATGGAGGGGAAGATGATTCCGGAAGTGCCTCAAGAGGAAATTGGTGGCAAGGTATCTGATTCCCATCTTTTTGATCATTTTGTTCTGTTTTGGGGAAATATTTGTTTCGTTTCTCTAACCGTTCTTGAAAACTCTCCAGGATCTCTGTATTACTAAGTAGAGATCTTACTACTTAAGCAAACGTTATAACTACCAAAGCAAGGTATAATGAACTCAAATATTCATTCAAACAATTCTGACTCGGTTCTAAGACACACAAATCTGATTTTGGTTTGGCTTGGTTTGGTTTTGGATTTCGCAGGTACATAGGAACAAAAAAGAATAGAGTAGCTGTGGATCCGACTGTTTTTAGTAACTTCCCATCTTGTTATTACAAAAGTATGGAAGAAGTTTGAAGCTAGCTAGTTGCAAAACAGGGGAGTTCTTTTGGCCCTTGTCGCGGTTTAGTGATTGACCCGACCGGTTCAGATTTAATTTTCCCTTACTTTTATAGATTAAACCGTTGATGGTTTTGTACAAACTCTATAGATCTCCAGTTTCCACGCATATATAAATAAATAAACTGTTCTTGTTCTAGCAATCTAGCTTTTACAGCGAATAATAGTTTGTTATGTTTGAATGTTTAATTCGGTCTGGTTATCATCGGTTTGGGTTGTTATGAAAGGTTCATTGTCTGGTTTAGATCGGAATCTACTTTCGAGGAGAACAATGTTGAGATTCTGCCTTTTGTCGTACAGATGTGTCCTCGAAAGATTCCAAGGAGATTCTTTTTACATTTGTCATAGTTCTTGGACCTTTAAACTTGGTTGAAATTGAGGTTTAAATCAGCATAATGCATTTGTTAATCTAAGGAAAAAAAACTGGTTTAATTGACTCATTTGTTGTTTAACCTCAAAGTCTATCTTTCCAATTATTATTATACAAATCTAAAACTACACACAAGAAAGAATAATAAACATTATATAAAAACATTGATAGGAAAAGGGATCCAAAAACAGAGACTTTTCCAAGGAGGAGTAGTAATTCAAATCCCAGGATCAAGGTTCGATACATTCAACGACTCCTTCATGCATTTCTCGAGAGACAATCTCTCACTCGACGAAGAACGGCTTGGTGTTTCTACAGGACGATCCTTCAATCTTGGTTCGTTCTTTGTTACATAAGCCGTCAAAACCCTTTTAACACTGCTACTGTGAGGAATCTTGAACCGGGAAGGAGATGGCGGAACGGTGATTGATGATCGGAGCTCCTGTTTTGATGGCGAGTAGCTCGGAGTTGTGTAGTTTGAGACTGGCACTGCAACGCTCTTATGAGCGTCATTCCCGTTGTTGCCTAATGTTGTTGGAGTCTGATCCGATGAATGTCTTGTAAGATCATCAACAAAGAGCAAGTCATCGATACGTGCAACAATGTTGAAAGCTAAGCTCTCTAGAACTCTTGAATAGCTTTCCAGAATCGATTTTCCGATGTCCTGAAACAGAGAAAAAGGAAAACTGTTTAGTGCGGGTTAAAAGAAAACAGAAAGATTTGGGATTTGATTTCCATGTAGAAACCTTGTTGTATTGGATTTTGCTCATGTCTAGAGCGGTTTGAGGGAGACCTGGGAATCGTTGTTTTAAAGAAAGCAATAAACTTTCAGCTCGATCCGCCATTAACTCTAGCTTGTCTGCATCAACCATTAGTTCTTTCACCATTTCCCATGACGTTTTGGTATTAGTAGCTGGTTTGGAATTAGTTCTTTTGTGCCATAGATAGATCGATGACTCGACTCGGTTAGCTATCTCTATGGCTTGATATTCAGAGGATAAGTCAAGGCAATCAAGAAGACATTCAGGTGAGAATTGATCCGATGAAATATATCTGTAGATTAAGTCACCTAGACAGGATCTTCCTTTCTGAAACATACCAAAAAAATGCAACTTTGAATTTCATATTAGAGTATGTTAGCAGTATATGTATGTATCGTTCGGTTTTTTTACCCGCGGAAGGGATTCGAGGTATGATTCAGGGATTTCCATGTCGGCGAGTGTGATACTGTTGATGGCCATAGCAGCTTTGAGTATCTGATTAGTGCAGTCGCGTTTATGCTGCAACTGTTTTCTTGAGTTTTCTTGTAAACCTCCTGGTGAAACCCGTGGAACAGGAAGCCACCATTTGTCTTCTTGCCTCTGAAAAGATTTTCGGAAAGAAGATGATCCGTCGTCCGCTGCTGATTCGTGCGCCATGATTCCTTGGTCAACATACCAAAACTCTGTTTCCTCAAAACTATCTAATATCTCCTGCAAAGATGGAAGATGAATAAAAATGAGACCTTTGGTGCTTAAAGTACCTAAGAGAAACTCGGGAAGATGAAAGAGGTCACAGATTCTTACAAGAAGCATGTTATCTAGTTTCCTGAGAGCTGGGAGGTTAACATAAAGATCTGATCTTCGTCTGCAAGTCATTATCTACAACAATGGAACAAAACAAAATATGGGTCTGTAATCGAAACAACAAAAATGCAACCAAACATTATCCAATCTACAATAAGAAATGCCTAATCTGTACCTCAAGTTTGGTTCCATCAGGAAATGTTTGCCAAGTTGGAGTCATCTCTACAATGTGATCACTGACACAGAGAAGCCATTCCATTTCTCTTCTCCACATCTCTTTCTTCTCTGTAGGCAGTGGTTCTAACCTCCATAGTTGCCCAAACAAGGTAGCTTTTTTGTTTTTTTAACAACAATTCAAGCAAAAACACAAAGTCGAGCTTATCAAGATCTATTCAAAGAGTATAATCTCCATCAATTCATGTGAGTAGTTCCACATACCACAAAGATTAGTGATTGCGTTTGAGATAGCTAAAGCTGTGCAGACACCATTTCCAGAACCTGACATATCTTCTCCAAGCAGCAGTTTCGAAAATCTTTCCTTCATCATCTCAACCTCTACATAGTCAAACCAGAAGAACAAAACATCCTTTAATTCAGACAAAAAAATCCAAAGCTACGAACTTTAAGCTTGATATACAAAAATGAAACTGTCACTGAGGAATAAAAGCAAACACTTGGTGGGTACATTTGTATAAAAATGACGAACCTGAAACTCTTGAATCCGAACGAATCTTCTTCTTCTCTCCATCGATGTTCTTCACAGACCAACGAGATGAAACCGGAGAAGCCGTGAAATCCTCCGTACAGCTAGGACTTTGTTCTTCCTCTTGTCTGGTTGTTTCCGAGCTGCAGCAACTGCTTTCTCTACCTTTCTCTTCCACTTCTCGCAGGTCGATTTTCAAATCTTCCGACGAACCACCCATTACAACGCCGCAAATCTCTCTTCAAACACAGTCTTCGATTTCTGAAACTTGCTCAAAGGAGCCTCTTTTATCTCTCTGGATAGTCTCGTGCTTGAATCGCATTACATCAAAGAGAACCCTTTTTGTTCGATCTGATTCTTTGGGAAAATTTTCTCGGGAAAAAAGATATATTTTCCGAGAAAAGAAAAGAAAATGCAGTGACTGGGTCTGTGAGTGAAGAGGTTCTCTTGCTCTCTCTTCCTCGATCTCTCTGCATCTTTCTCAACATAAGTTTAAAAACACCAACTTTATCTTCTCAGTAACCAGATGATTAGTATTATTTTAATCTACGGGTTTAATTCTAAACTAATCCAAATCAATGACGACAAGATTTCTATTTATACTATAGTTTATAGTTTAATTGTTTTTTGATTATGGGAATCGTGTAATTGCCGGATCCATCTACGATGTTCTCTGGTTTCGTTTTTATTTATTTTTTTCTTAAGCTTTTTTTTAAAAAAGTTTTTGATTGCGATTTGATAACAATAAAATCATAAAATGACGTATTCAATAAGGTTGTACATTTCTTTTACAAATTACGTAACCATATTAATTTAGGAATTTGGAAATAAAGGAAATTAAAATATATAATAAAGTCGTATTCATCAAATGATATGCAACGGTACAATACTTCTATAACAATTTGTATTACTACTTATCACATTATTTTCTTTTTTCACAACTTCCACAAGATATATTTGGTGTCAGTATTTTCAAATTTGTTCATTTATATTAACACACAACCTTGAAAATTCCTTTTTTTTTCCCCTTTTTTTGAGAGCTCAGTGGATCGGATTTAAGATAGTTTGAATTTCTAAAAGTTTACGAATTTCAAAAATGTTACTCCGTGAAGCATTCACACTCCCTAACAACAATAAATACATCCTCTCTTCAAGCCTTCACGGTAATATCATATGTCAAAGAGAACACACCATTCAATACGTGAAGAGAGATTCAATATCAATAACTTTTCTATGTTTTCATTTGCATTTAACAAGTTTGATAAATGAATGGTATATAGCCGTATAGGCTCCATAGTGACCACAATTTGGTCCATTCTTAAGGATAAAGGTAGAAACTAGAAAGTGATGCTTTGTCTTTGGTTCTAACCCAACCAAAATTTCCAACGGTTTCTTGTCTTTGCGTGTATGTTACGATCGAGTGGTCACACCACGTTTTTTTTTTAATCATTATTATGAAATTGTAGCTTCATAATTTCCTTTGTTTATCTCATAATTTCATATAATTTTTTTTCTAAACTACTTTTACTTTTGAAAATAGGTTCAACATTTACTTACTGCTTAGAAATTAGGATAAGATTTTAACATTTTTTAAATCCCTAAAGTTTTCTTCTTGTTTGCATAATTTATATATTTTTGCAAAACTTTACTCAATTTTCTTGTTTTTTCCAAGTAAACAACTTCTTTTCAAATATATATGGGATTTTCATGTAACGTAATCTCGTAATTAAATATGAATGTGTAGATGTTGTCGAGCATTTCAAACAAACTTAATGTTTCCTCTGTTTGTAATTGCTCTCTATCAGTTGTCGTATTGTACGTCGTTGTTTCCCTAACAAAGCAACCCTAAAAATAAGGTCAAAACTCAAAACTGTTCCACCTTTTGTATAACAAACGCAACACGATGACAAAAGTAAATAAATATTTAAATAATACTTGAACGACTAAAATATCATGATTTTGTCATTTGTGCGTCTATAATCATACCGAGAGTTTGAGTTTTTCATAATACTAAAGTGATAGTTAATTAATCAAATAAAAGAATATTATCTACTCTACTCATAATATTCTTACAAACATTTCATCAACTTTTAATTTCTCCTTACGCTATATCATTATTTTTAACAAGAACTGACTTTCAACTTACACTACCCAATATCCTTAATCAAAAGTTCTTTAAAAAAAAACATCCCATTTTCTTGAGCTATAAACCAAAGTTATCTTTATATTTGTTTGGTTTTGCCCAACTGCACTACAAAAGTTTAGAGATTTTGAAAATTACAAAATAAGAACTATTATATAAATTCAAATACGAACTTATAAGTCTAATTACCACGGTGCATAACGTTTCATTAATGGACCGAAGCAAACCAATATAGTTCTTCATAAATTCTTACTTATTGCTTGCGTTTGATTACATGATTTCATTGGGCCATCACCATTGGGCCTAATAATATGTCACTATGGGCCATCTATTGCAAACTCGTTTAAAAAGTAGTTCACGGTGAGATCAAAATCTTTATCAATTGGTTACAATCCTTCTGTTTCTGATTCATCTTGCAGGTTACCACTTTAAGGTGAGATCAAAATGGCTCTTCTCATATTCTCCTTTTGGTTTCTGACAAGGAATTAGTTATGTCGATGAAACGCTACTATATCCGTATATGTCAAAGCATGAATTGGACATTGATCAAGGAATCTCGGTTTTAAAGATTAGGGGACATCTTGTAATTGTTCAACTATTGCAATGTGGCTTCCACTGGACTCTCCAAATCTTTAGGCAACTGTTCCATCACAAAGATTCTTGCATCAAGAAAAAAGGTGAAAGGGATCATAGAAAACCTTTGATAGTAAGTGGGATGATCTTCCAACTGCAAAATCAAGAAAGACTCGGCTTATTTTGAATATATTGAAAAGACATGTTCCAAGTTATCCTCTCCATATCAACAAGAGATAATAATTGAACAAGAGATCCAAAGCAACAGAAGAACAACGTAGAAACCTTTCCTTAGAATAGTAAAGTAAACGCAGTGGCCTTACCAAGTCCCCAAGTAGCCTGCAATATAAAACAGAAACTAACGCTACATAACATAATCCGAGAAAATGACTTGTTACACCAGTGATAACACAAAAACAGGTGTGTGAGTGTTTGTGTGAATGATTCCATGAAAGATTGGATTTGGAGCAAGAAGAGGAACATGATTTGGAGCCAAAGATTCTGTTTTTACTCTCATATCAACTATAATGAAAGAAATCACCACACAGATTGAAGATTTTAACTCTGGAGTCAAATTCATGTACCTGAACAAGAATCTGTAGACTAATAACTTGATGATCCTGCCAACTCCATATACAGTGAAGAAATTGGAGATTTTTATATCCGAAAATTCAAGGATCAGATGCTTTTTCCGGCGGATAATGAAACTAAGATCGCTGGGTTTTTCCGTTGTAGTCTAAATTCGGATGATAGACGAATAAAACAAGAGCTAATGCTTTCTTTTTTTCTTTGGGCTTTAGCAGATGCTTCGATGTGGGACAAAAAAAAAAGAACACTTTCTGATAACACTGTTGTTGTCGAATTCCACAAGTTTCAAATTTATCGAATTGGGCCGACAAACACTTGGACCCGACCCATGAAAAGGAAAAGGAAACTAATAAGTCGGCTGCGTTTCAACTTATTTTTTAAATAAGGGATCCCACATCGGTTAGTGGAAGGGAGAGGTCCATGGAACTTGTCCTATAAATATATGCATATGGGATCCTAAATGAAATCCAATAAGTCGGCCCGATGTAATTCGGCCGCCCGCTTAATGGGTTAGGCCCTAGTTCTTTTTTTTCTCTTCATTGTTATTCGTCGCGTTTTTACAAAAAATTGTTTTCCACTTTTTTTCTTTCAAACGTTTTTATTTTAATTAAAGGTTTCATTATATAAAATACTTTTTTTTTCAAATAATCAAAGTGTTAAATTTCAATGCAATTGAAAACAAACTGGATTAAGCATGCCGTCCCATCCAACGGGTCCTTAAGCCGTGTTATTAGTTCAACCGTTTTTCACGCAAGTAAATTTAACACTTAGATTAATTTTTATGATTTTTTACAAATATTTTTATTATATAAACTATATTTTTTGTAACTATATTTTTGATTATAAAAATGTTTTCATTTCAAAGATTTTTTCAAGTTAGAAAACTATGTTTTTTGCAAATATTTTTGTTTTAACCAAAGTTTTTATTATATATAATATATTCTTATTTTCAAATGATCTAAGTGTTAAATTTCAATGCATTGAAAACAAACCGGATTAAGCATCCCGTCCCATCTTACGGGTCCGTAAGAGGTGTTATTAATTCAACCGCTTTTCATGCAACTAAATTTAATCCTTAGATTAATTTTTATGGTTTTTTTGCAAGTATTTTTATTATGTAAACTGTTTTTTTATAAAATTATATTTTTGATCAAACAATATATTTCATTTCAAAAGTGTTTTTCTAAAGTTAGAAAAATGTTTTTCACTTGGTTTTTTCCACAAATATTTTTTATCTTAACTAAAGTTTTTACTATATAAAATACTTTTTTTTTCAAATAATCTAAGCATTAAATTTCAATGCAATTGAAAACAAACCGGATTAAGCATGCCGTCCCATCCAACGGGTCCTTAAGCCGTGTTATTAGTTCAACCGTTTTTCACGCAAGTAAATTTAACACTTAGATTAATTTTTATGATTTTTTACAAATATTTTTATTATATAAACTATATTTTTTGTTACTATATTTTTGATTATAAAAAATGTTTTCATTTCAAAGATTTTTTTCAAGTTAGAAAACTATGTTTTTTGCAAATATTTTTGTTTTAACCAAAGTTTTTATTATATATAATATATTCTTATTTTCAAATGATCTAAGTGTTAAATTTCAATGCATTGAAAACAAACCGGATTAAGCATCCCGTCCCATCTTACGGGTCCGTAAGAGGTGTTATTAATTCAACCGCTTTTCATGCAACTAAATTTAATCCTTAGATTAATTTTTATGGTTTTTTGCAAGTATTTTTATTATGTAAACTGTTTTTTTATAAAATTATATTTTTGATCAAACAATATATTTCATTTCAAAAGTGTTTTTCTAAAGTTAGAAAAATGTTTTTCACTTGGTTTTTTCCACAAATATTTTTTATCTTAACTAAAGTTTTTACTATATAAAATACTTTGGTTTTCAAAAAATTTAAGTGTTAAATTTCAATGCATTGAAAACAAACGGAATTAAACATCCCGTCCCATCCTACGGGTCCGTAAAAGGTGTTATTAATTTAACCGCTTTTCACGCAAGTAAATTTAACTTTTATATTAATTTTTTGGTTTTTGCAAGTAAGTGTTAAAAATGTAATTAAAAATAAATAAATAACAAAATACCAAACTGAATTATTTACTCGAGAATTAGAGAGTACATCAACATGATTTTAGTAAACAAACACCAAAAGATTATTTAACAAATTATTCAATCCATGTAAATTTTTATAACTAACAATTATGAATGAAAAAACCTGCACTAGTATGTAATAATAAAAGTATATCGATCCTCTTTTATCTAAATATTTAAGATATAATCAAGTCAAGACGTGTGTGTAGAATAACATTTCTTGATTATGCTAATTAATTTTATTATATAATTTTCATGCAACCTCAGCATCTTGCAAGTTAATCCGAAAAGTTTGTAGTAGAAAATTATATATTCAATAGAACATCGCCTAAAATTAAAAGATTTACATAATTTAGATACTGATTGTTTTTGGGGTTTTAGAAACTTGGAGGTTGTATAAGATATTAAGATCATATCGTATTCAAACCCATCATCGAAAACATTGATTAGCCGATATACTTTGCAATTCCTTGAACACATATAAATCTATATAAGAGATTCTAATGTTTAAAAAGTGTTCAAGGTCTATAATTAAATTTCTGAATTGTTTTAACAAATCATAGTACACATGTCTTTTTCTAGTCAAAAATCTACAAAAAAAAATTTAAGTTTACGTGATTTCATAATGTTAGTAGAAAAGAGAGAAAAAAAGAAAGAAAGTAAAAGTAAAGTCCTTTTGCTTTATTGATTGAAATAAATAACATATCTAATTGGATCACTGCTCTAAGTGCTCTTTAGTCAAACAAATTACAGGCTCCTCGTGAAAAAAACATAATCCATCAATAATTAGATTTGTGGATTTGTCGTGAAATTTATATAAACCTCATAATCAAGTAAAGATTAACATCTGAATAACACAAAAAAAAAAAAAAAAAAAAATTGTCGTCGACATAAATATAAAGAACTTAAATACAGATTAGTGTTGTGTTTATTTTTGTCATCACTCATCACACTTACTACCGAAAATGATTGAAGTTTCTTCTAAAGCCGTAACGGACAAAATAATAAAAGTTGAAAAAATAGGAGAAAAAAGTGAGAAAAGATAAGAAACTTATGCGTGCTGACGTCAGCAGTAATTTTCTGTATCGGGATTCGTTACGAAGAGAGAAACAAAACGGAAGTCTCCTAAAAGGCCCCACCTTTCATTGAATTAATATCAACCACACGATTAATCTTTCGTCCTCAACAACTATTAATCTTGATCGTACGATTCTCGCACGAAGGCCTCTTTCTTCTTCTAAGCGGCCAAGAGATTCTCTGCAACTTCTTCGATTGCTTACTAAAGCTTTCTCGATTAACGTTAATCAGAAGAAGAGATTTGGTTTAGTGAATCTTGATTTCCGTGGTTGTGATTTTCGATTTTGCTTCTACTCCACGTTCTTGTTTTTTAGCTCCAGATTATACTTTTTTGTTTTCTTCTCTTCGACGATATCTGCCACCAACTCGAAGGTTAGGATTAGGGTTTCTCGAGATGTTTCCTCCATTACTTTCTCGGTTGTGAAACACAACACTTGTTTCGAAATCTTTGCGCATAAAGGTTTGATTTTTTTTGTTTGTTAAGAGTTGGAATTGAATTAGTCTTTATACATTGTGGTCAAATAATAGTATCCGAGTCTCTCGTGATTTAGTTTATCACAGTTAAAGTTTCCTTTTTTATTGCTGTATTTGTTCAATGGGGGCTAAGTTTCACTGCTTCTTCTTTGTAGATCAATAATGGCTACAAGAACTGAGTTTAGAGATGTTCTGAAACAGAGCCAAAGAACATCGGAGATGGCAGAAAAGGAGGGTCAAGTAAGTGGCACTGACAATGAGATCCGGGTCAGAACGAAACGTTCAAGCCATAGTCGTCGAAAGGAATGTGTCAATGAGAGTTTGGAACATAATGATGAGCTTGTGAAATATATGTCCAAGTTGCCAGGTTATCTCCAACGTATAGAGAGAGGTGAAGAAAGTGTTCAGAGTAATGTTTTGAATGTTGGAGTCTTGGATTGGGAACGTCTAGAGAAATGGAAGAATGGCCGAGCAAAAGGCGGTGAAAGATCAGGAAAATCTGAGAGAAAAGTGTCTACTATTGCTACTTCAGGAGTTGTTCCCAATGACTCAGCTAATAGGTGCAAGATTGATGACCAGTTGCCTACTTGTTCGAATCTCGGTAAAGTTAAAGCTTCCCGGGATCTTCAAAATTCTCTTCACGGAGTTAGATGCACTTTGGATCCTGAATTGGCTTCTAGGGATTCATTAAATAAGCAGGAACTAGCAACTTGTAGCTATAAGTCCTCTGGTAGAGATCAAAAAGGAGTTGAACCAAGGAAGAGCAGAAGAACGCATACAAATCGGGAATCCACTTCAGGTTTATTGTCAGAAATAGGAAACTCTGGGGGGTCACTGGTCATCAAGAGAAACTTAGTTGTCCGGGATAAGGAGACTCAGAAGAGAGCAGGGGAGATACATGCAAAAGAAGCAAGAGAAAGAGCTAAAGAATGTGTTGAGAAGTTAGATGGAGGTGAGAAGATCATTGGCGATTCGAAAGCTGGTCATACTTCTGAAAAGCAGGAGTTCAGCAACATTTTTCTCCTTCGATCAAGAAAACAGTCCCGAAGCACTCTTTCTGGTAAGCCCCAAATCTCTAGGGAGGTTAACCGCTCTCTGGACTTTTCCGACAGAATCAATAGCTCTTTAGGACTGAGCTCTCAAACTCCTCGTTCCTGTCCACTCTCTTTCGACTTAGAGAGAGACTCTGAAGATATGATGTTGCCTCTTGGTACTGATATATCTGGTAAAAAGGAAAGGTTTGGTGGGAAAAGGCATTCAAAGACAGCTTCAAGGATATTTGATCTAGAATTTCCTGAAGATGAGTCCAGAAAGGAGAGACACCCTTCACCGAGCAAGCGGTTTAGTTTTAGTTTTGGTCGTCTCAGCCGAAGTTTCAGCGTAAAAGAGATTTCAGCCGGCCAACCTTTGAGCTCTTCTGAGGATACTATCAAGTCTGGTTCTATGAGATTTGATGGTTCAGTTTGTCCATCTCAGTCAAGTAATCCGGAGAACACTCATTGCAGATCTCGAGTTAGCCCTCTAAGACGGTTTCTTGACCCTTTACTGAAACCCAAAGGCTTTGAAAATGTTCTTCCATCAAAAGCAAGATCAAGTTCTTCCAATCCAGAGCCAACAACCAACAGCAACGTACCACTTCAAGGCGAAAAGAAGCAGGATACATCGAGAACCCGAGCTATTTTTCAGCTCACAGTCAGGAATGGCATCCCTCTGTTTCAATTTGTGGTCGATGATAACAATAACAGCAGCAGCAGGAGCATTCTCGGGGCTACAATGAAGAGCTCGGATTCATCGCTCAAAGATGATTCTGTTCAGTATTGCACATTCTACTCTGTTAATGAGGTCAAAAAGAAGAAAAGCGGAAGCTGGCTAATTCATGGACACAAAGAGAAACACTGCGGGTTCGTCTACAATGTAATCGGTCAAATGCGGTTGGGAAACTCAATGAGCGCAGATATATCAGAGCAGAAATCTGAAATCATCTCTCCTGTGATCACAGAATCAGTTCTGTTTGACGAGTCAGAGCAAGTAAAAGGGAGGAGGGAGGTTGCAGCTGTAGTGATCAAGAAGAAGCCGGTCGAAGGAAGCTATAACAGCCTCATGGAAACGAGTGTGATCATTCCTGGCGACGTTCACAGCTTCCCAGAGAAAGGAGCACCATCGCCATTGATTAGCCGGTGGAGATCTGAAGGGTTATGCGACTGCGGTGGCTGGGATGTTGGATGTAAACTCCGTGTCCTCTCCAACAAAACAGTCCTCCATGAATTCAACCAAAGCTTCAAACTTTTCGATCAGGTAACATAAACATAACTTAAGCAAACATAGTCTTTTAATAGTTTCCTGCAAACCCATTTCAAAATAAAATATGTGTTTGCTTTTCTTGATTTGTTATACCGTGTTCTTGAAAGTAGTCGTTTTACATTTGCAGGAAGGAAGTGAACAAGACTCGGGTCCGGTTTTGACTATGACGGAGCTGAAGACAGGGATCTATAGGGTGGAGTTTGGTTCGTCTGTTTCGCCGTTACAAGCCTTTTTTGTGTGTGTGACGGTACTAACATGTGCTTCCGAGGCAAAGACCACCGGAAAATGTTCTTCTCCTATGGCTCCGCCGCTATCTCCCGTTGGTAGAGTCTAAACTCAGGACACAGGTAGAGTATCTAATGATCGTTTTTTCTTTCATATAAATTCCCAACGTTGTATACTCTTGTGTTGTGTCCAAAAAGACTTAAAATCATAAGACCATACACTACTATTAAAGTCACACCCATCAACTACGTATATTGCTTTGCTTAGAGTTGAAGAAATACTTAACAAAAATAACATCCTTTTTATATTGATAAACTAATTATTTCTCGTACAAATCAGTTCAAGCATTGTAGTATTGCACTGGTGACCAAAAATTTTCATATATTAATACAAGAAGAATACTGAATTTTAAGAAACAATGATTTCCAAAAATGTGGAAATAATGACTACGACTGATAGTCAATAGTAAATGTATTTTTTTCTTTAAAAATGGAACAACGAACCTAGTTGCTTTTAGTAAGACAAATCAGTGTTAGTCGTCCGAGAGTCATAGATCGTAGGATCACGAGTGCATTGCGGAAGATTCGACGGTGGAGATGGCAAGCTCGTTTCCGGAGTTGGCCCATTTTGAACTATGAAAGCATTCATAATCCCGTATGGTAAATGTGCATCCATGTGACAATGGAACAGCCATACACCTGCAAATATACAATATCATATTCATATTAATATATAATTGGTGTAGACACTAAATACATATTTTTAAAATTAAATTGTTACTAACCAGGATTATTAGCGATAAATCTGAGGACAACCCATCCACCTGGTGGTACACCAACGGTATTGTGCATCTGTGGGTTAAATAGATTTAGCTTTCTTGCATCACGAATAGGATCATAGTTACCAAATCCATAACCCAAAACATAGAAGTTGAAGCCGTGAAGGTGCATGGGGTGGCTCTCCGGGGAGAGAATAGCCGTGTTTTGCAAAACAATCTCGACTGTTGAATTAAATCTAATTGTTTTGACGCTAGTCTTTCTTTCCGGAAACATCATCTTCATGTCAGAATTCGTACGCTGTTGGAATTTTGTGTAATCAAATTTAACCGGTGGTTGGTCGGGAAAATCTTCGGTGTAGACTCCACTAATGTTGTAAAAATAAGCCTCTTGCATAGAGATTCTCTCCGGAATCATAAAAGTGCGGTTGTTGAGAGATCCAGCATACCTTTGACCCAACGGTCCAATACACTTGGTACCCGAAGGACATGGGTCTAAGCCAAGCCCCATGGTTATGAACATCTTCTCGTCCACGTGACGAGGCACTGGCTTCCAGTGTGGTCCACCCACGAGGCTAGTGATGTTCGAGGAGAACCTATGAGAGGTGGCTATGTCAGTCGTAGCAGGCATCAACGGCTTCACTGGCGATGATGATGACGTGGCACCCTCGTAGACGATTAATCCTCTGGTGGGTTTGATGTCGGGGGTTGGTATCCCGATGGCACTAATGTAAGGGACGGTGGCCATGTAGTACTTTCCAATGGGCTGGTCAGCGGTGAGAAGTACGTCAACGGTTTGTCCCGGCGTTAAGATCATCACATCGGTGAGATACGGCGTCGTGTAAACAGCATCTGCAGCGACAACTGTGACGTTGTGATTGGCTATTTTGAAGAAGAGGTGAGTGTTGAGTGCTGCGTTTATAATCCTTAGCAAGTATGTTTTTCCTTGTACAACTTTGAGGTTAAACATTCCTATCGAAGCCAAAAAAACCAAAAAAAAAAATTAATATATGTTTTTTGTAAACAATTTACAATTAAAAGTAACTTTCGATTCAAGTAAAGATTGAGTATTACTATTCGTAGAGCAAGGATATGAATCTCCGGCGAGGCCATTGATGAGGTAAGCATCAGAAACCGGAGCTGGCCGTAATTGGAGAAGTCTAACGTCTGTGTCCCACCATTGTTCTTGCATAATCAATTTTTTAAAAACAAATTAATTAAAAATTTAAATACTATTATATCATAATATCTTCATATACATAATATATTTGGTGGATGTTTATTATATTCGAACCAACTTCGTCATACTCGTCAGAATGTGGCCTAGATCGAGAAAGTTGTATGTATCAACTTGTGAAATACAGCTGTTTGAAAAACCAATATTTTTTGGACAAATATTTCTTTTACTATTATATTGAATCACTATAATCGAGGATCGTCGCGTCACAAATTTATTTCGACTTAAAAAAAAAAAAGGGAAATACTTACGAAAAATGATAGGAACTTCCTTGTAGGGTTTAGGAAAAGGGTAAGGACGGCCGGATCGGGGACGGATGACTAGAGCCCCGTGAAGAGTGGCACGTAGATTAACGACGTGTGCGTGCCACAACAATGTACCTTCTTGTCCGGTGATATCGAATTGATATGTGAAGTTGTTACTTGGTTGAATCGGACATTGAGTTATCATATTCGCACCGTCCATCCATGTGCTCTTCAGCTGAAAAACTCCATGCCTACATATAAATCAATAAATACTTTTATTAACACCTAAAAAGTTAATTATTTGATGAAATAATATTGATATAAAATGATATCGAGATGATCAATAAGTTACTTAATTACCAGTGGATGGTTACATTGTAAGTTGAGTTGTTAATGACATTAACCACAAGAGTGTCGCCTTCTCTAACGTTTATCGTTGGGCCGGGAAGACTTCCGTTAGCTGCCGGTATTATTTGCTCCTTGCATAACGGTTTCACCACCACGTCTTGGACCTGTTGGTTAGACGTCGTTAGTATTAAATATTTTTTTAATGGCAAAGTTAAAAACTAAAAAAATAGTATTTGTTTAACCGCGTTGTGTTAATGTGTGTATTTATTGTATTTTTCCCCTCCTAATATGCCTATATTATAAACAATTAAATCAGTTAACAATAAATATATACGCTAAAGTCAAATGCAAACAAAAAGAGAACATTCTACGCTTAATTCGTAATAAACCACAATGTTTATATAATCTAGAGATAAAATACACTAAAACTCGGGTTCACAGTCTAGATCTCCATCAAATACGGTAAGAATTTTTAAAATGGAGGAAAAGAAAACACAAGCACGTGCATACCACCCACCAACTTTTCCAATTTTAAGAAATATTGACTAGTATATATAATGAAAAATGGTAATATAATATAGTTTCCACAGTAATAAAATTAATAGGTAATTTTTGAAAATTATATTTAATTTATAGAGTAAAGAAAAAGAAAGAAGGAGAAAATGGTATTAGAGTAAATACGTGGAGAACATGTTCGACAATAGCTGCTGAGGCAATGGAAGAGAAGAGAAGAAGGACGAGGAAGGCTTGATTTGGGAGATAATGATGAAGTCGAGGCATTGTTGATGCGAGGAAGTGAAAAATGATAATTTGCCCCACTTATGACTTTATGAGAGACTCGTACACGTATTTATAGAAGGAACTAATGGAGAGAGATGGGCCGAAGTTTTAATAAAAACTTTACGAAACTATTATATTATATTACTATTCAATTATTAATCTGCCAGAAATGGCAATCTCAACACGATTGCCCACGTCGTTGACCAACCAAAAAAAAATAAAAAAACGATGCCAAACGATTAGTGCATGTATATTATCTGCTGTGTAAAACGTTTCCTCTTGTGGTCTCTTATTTTATCTTCTATTTACGTGTTCTTTGGTGAAGTCGTAAAGTCGAGATTTAAGACCATCAGTGGCAAATATGTTTGTATGGATGTAAGTATTTTTTTAGTATTATAATTTAAAGCAAAAGAGATAAGAGAAAGAGAAAGAAAGAGAGATAGAAAGAAAAAATGTTACATCCGAGTGTAAACTTACATCCGGGTATGAAAAGAGAGACAATTTTTTTGTTTTTTTAATACTTACATCCCAAGACTCACACCCACTTGCTTGCCCCACTGCCCATGCTCTAATAAGATTTCGTCCCATGGCCCAAACATTAATTGTAATTGATATTTCCAAAGTCATTAGATATTTTTCTTTAGGTTATGATGTCACATGTTAAAACTACCTCCATTTTTTTTTATGATCATCCCCTATTATGTATAAGTATAACAAAAGTGTAATCATTTATGACCCGAACGGACCCAAATAATCAAATGTCCATCTCTAATACTCCCTCCGTATCAAAAAGATTGATTTTATAGAGTTTTCACACTAATTAAGAAAAACATTTAATGTTTAGTTATAAATGACAACTTATTCATACAATCATACCAACCCATTTCTCATAGCTATTAACCAATAGTAATTCATCAAATTTTAAAATTTTCAATTAATGATTCTTCAAATTTACAATTTATTAACATTAATTGATAAAAATTTATATAAAATCAATCTTTTTGATACAAAAATAAAACTTCAAAAATCAATCTTTTTGATACGGAGGGAGTACTACTAAAGGAAACCAAATAATGATTGCTTCAAAGTTCTAATTCTATTGTTCTCATGATCACGAATCGATATCTAATTAATTACATATAATCCGCATTTCTTTGTTTTCCAATGAATTCAACGTTTATATATTTCCGTTCACACATTGAAGCTTACATTCGTCTTCTACCTTTTAAAAGAATAAAAAAATTATCTTCTCGAGTCAATGGCATATATACACACATAAACATGATGATACAGCTAAGCAACTCTGCCATGTGAATCACGAGATCGAATTAATTTAAAAGGCAAAAATGTCCTTTGTGCGTGATTAGTTGAGACTTGAGAGATTAGTGAAATCAATTACTTAATGCCAGTGGCATATGATCACTGTCTCCAAGCATCTTTAACTACGTACCGCTTATATATTAATTCATAAACAAATGTAAAGATTTTTTGTTTTTTCTTGTTAATATTGGCGGACATGTCATTAGCTAATGTTAATCAATGATTCAATCAATTGCTGAGATGACTTTGGCCAGGAGATAACAATGGATTAGCTAATGATAAGAAAATAATTTTTGTTTGTTTCTATAACAACATTTTTCGCCACGGTTGCTTTGACTGAAGATTATAGCCTTATAGGGCTAAAATGATATATTTTATATTTCGGCAGATTTTTATCAGTTTAGCCCGTTAGGTCCAAAAGCGTACTTATAGCCCATTTACACTTTAAAAGAAAGAAGAAAAAAATCATCAATATTCCCGAAACGAGCCTTACAGGATTATCTTTGATAAGGTATTGCTAAGCAGCTCCTTTTGTTTTGTGTGTTTTTCTTGATTTGAAAAAAACTCATCTTCAAGTTCTTGAATGACAGATAGGGAATCCTAAGCTTTCTTGCTTTGGTCTCATGAAGAATAGCCATGAAGGGAAGATTTATAGCACCAACTTAGCATTTGCTCCTCCCGAGTATTTGCGCCTTGATACTGTTATACCGGAGAGCGTCACATTTAGCTTCGGAACCTTGTTATTGGATCTTATGAGCGGCAGACATATTCCTCCAAACCATGTAACAAAAGTTGCAAATTGAGTTGCATTTTTGACTGATTCTTAGCTTCAATATATGTTAATAATGTGGTATTTTGTGCAGCCACTTGATTTGTTCCAAGGTAAAAACTATTTGGTGCTAATGGATTCAGCTCTGGATGGTCAGTTCTCTGATGAATACAGGACAGAACTAATTATACATAGCTTTATGTTTGAAGAGTGACACCTGAAGAGAGGCCAAGTATAAAGTTTCTTAAGGCGACTCTTTCTAGACTTCATAAACGAGCCAAGTTTTTTTTTTTTTTTTTTAAAGAAACGAGCCAAGTTATGTCCTATTAATGTCAAAAGACCTATGTCTGTAAGTGTCACTCTCTCTTATATTCAAGAATCACGTATATTCAAACAATGCAAATTTGAATTAATGGTACTCATAAATCATATATTAATTGACAGCCTCCATCAAACAATCTGCCTCAAAAGACTATACCTGCAAAAGAGTCATTTAAGTTGACTAATTCAGAGTAATGTTTTGAATGTCGGAGTCTTGGATTGGGAACGTCTACAGAAATGTAAGCATGGTCGTAAATAAACACAAGAAAGATATACTGAATTTTAAGAAACAATTATTTCGAAAAATGTGGAAACTATGACTACGATTGATAGTCAACAGTTAATGTATTTTTTTAAAACGAACGTAGCTACTTTTAGTAAGACAAATCAACATTAGTCGCCCGAGAGTCATAGATTGTAGGATCCCGAGTGCATTGGGGAAGATTCGACGGTGGAGATGGCAAGCTCGTTTCCGGAGTTGGCCCATTTTGAACTATGAAAGCCATCATAATTCCTAATGGTAAATGTGCATCCATGTGACAATGGAACAGCCATACACCTGCAAAAATACAATTTCATATATTCATATTAATCCATCCATTAATATATAACTGTAGATACTAAACATATATAAATGTTACTAACCAGGATTATTAGCGATAAATCTGAGGACAACCCATCCACCTGGTGGTACACCAACGGTATTGTGCATTTGCGGGTTAAGTAGATTTAGCTTTCTTGCATCACGAATAGGATCATAGTTAGCAAATCCATAACCCAAAACATAGAAGTTGAAGCCGTGAAGGTGCATGGGGTGGCTCTCCGGGGAGAGAATAGCCGTGTTTTGCAAAACAATCTCGACTGTAGAATTAAATCTTATTGTCTTGACGCTAGTCTTTCTTTCCGGAAACATCATTTCGAAGTCAGAATTGGTACGTTGTTCGAATTTTGTGTAATCAAATTTAAGCGATGGTTGGTTGGGAAAATCGTCGGTGTAGACTCCAGTAATGTTGTAAAAATAAGCCTCTTGCATAGAGATTCTCTCCGGTAACATAAAAGTGCGATTGTTGAGAGATCCAGCTAATCTTTGATCTAACGGTCCAATACACTTGGTCTCCGAAGGACATGGGTCTAAGCCAAGCCCCATAGTTATGAACATCTTCTCGTCCACGTGACAAGGCACTGGTGTCCAGTATGGTCCACCCACAAGGCTAGTGACGTTCGAGGAAAACCTATGAGCGGTGGCTATGTCATTCGGGGCAGGCATCAAAGGCTTCGCTGGTAAGGACGACGTGGCACCCTCGTAGACGATTAAGCCTCTGGTGGGTTTAGTGTCGGGGGATGCTGGTATCCCGATGGCACTAAAGTAAGGGATGGTGGCCATGTAGTACATTCCAATGGGCTGGTCGGCGGTGAGAAGTGCGTCAACAGTTTGTCCCGGCGTTAAGATCATCACATCGGTGAGGTACGGCGTCGTGTAGACAGCATCTACAGCGACAACTGTGACGTTGTGATTGGCTATTTTGAAGAAGAGGTGAGTGTTGAGTGCTGCGTTTATAATCCTTAGCAAGTATGTTTTTCCTTGTACAACCTTGAGGTTAAACATTCCTACCGAACCCAAAACCAAAAAAAAAAAAATTATGTTATTGTAAACAATTGTTGTTAAGTATTTAGGAGGTCGATAATTTACAAAGAAATATCAAAAGAAACTTTTAATTCAAGTAAAGAGTGAGTACTACTATTCTGAGAGCAAGGATATGAATCTCCGGCGAGGCCATTGATGAGGTAAGCATCAGAAACCGGAGCTGGCCGTAATTCGAGAAGTCTAACATCTGTGTCCCACCATTGTTCTTGCATAATCAATTTTTATCAAACAAATTAATTAACAATTTTCATACTATATATCATAATATCTTATATATATTTGGTGGATGTTTATTAAATTCGAACCAACGTGGCCATACTCGTCGGAATGTGGCCTAGATCGAGAAAGTCGTATCAACTTGTAAATGATAGCTGTTTGAAAAACAATATTTTTGAACAAATATGTCTTTTAAAATTATATTGAATTGAATAACTATAAATCGGCGCTATCACGAAATTGATTTCGTCTTAAGAGAAAAGAAAATGCTTACGAAAAATGATAGGAACTTCCTTGTAGGGTTTAGGAAAAGGGTAAGGACGGCCGGATCGAGGACGGATGACTAGAGCCCCATGAAGAGTGGCACGTAGATTAACGACGTGTGCGTGCCATAACAATGTACCTTCTTGTCCGGTGATATCGAATTGATATGTGAAGTTGTTACTTGGTTGAATCGGACATTGAGTTATCATATTCGCACCGTCCATCCATACGCTCTTCAACTGAAAAACTCCATGCCTAAACAAATATATGTGTGAAATCAAGAAATAACTTTTATTAACATCTAATAAGTTAATTATTTGATATCAACGCTCATTATTAGAAAATAATAATTTAGATCAATAAGTTATTTAATTACCAATGGATGGTTACGTTGTAAGTTGAGTTGTTAATGACATGAACCACAAGAGTGTCGCCTTCTCTAACGTTTATCGTTGGACCCGGAAAACTTCCGTTAACTGTTGGTATCATTTGCTCCTTGCATAACGGTTTCACCATGACGTCTTTGACCTGTTTCGTTATTATTGTTATATTTTCTATGTTTTACTCATTATACATTTTTTCACACATTGAAAAACTATTAAAAGTTACACTATACATTTTATTAGTGCACTAAATAAAATTATCTTTTCTATTAATATATCAAAAAGGTAAAGTTAAAAATAGATAGTTATTCAAAATTTTGCATTACAAATAACAAACAACCTTTTTGTGTGAAACTATAAAATCTTAAAACGATATTCTTTGTGGGACGGAAGAAGTATTAAATAGTTTTTGACAATTCTTTTTTGATGGCAACTTTAAGAAATAGTATTTGTTTACCGCCTTGTATTAATTAATGTGTGTATTTATTGTAGTTTTCCTCCTTATAGGCCTATATTCTAAACAATTAAATCAGTTTAAAAAGTCAAATGCAAACAAAAAGAGAACATTCCAAGCATAATTCGTAATATACCACAATGCTTATATAATCTAGAGATAAAAATCATAAAATACACAAAACCTCAGGGGTTATAGATTAGAGATCCATTAAATACGGTTTTGAAATGGAGCCAGCTTTTCCAATTTTGAGAATAGCTAGTGACCAGTATGTTAAATGAAAACTGGTAACATAATATAGCTTCCACTGCAACAAAACTAATCGGTAATATTTGAATTTTTATTTAGTTTATATATAGAGCAAAAAAAGAATGAAGGAGAAATAAGAATAAATACGTGGAGGACATGTTCGACAATAGCTGCTGAGGCAATGGAAGAGAAGAGAAGAAGAACGACGAAGGTTTGAATTGGGAGATAATGATGAAGTCGAGGCATTCTTGTTGATTTTGTGAGAGACTCGTACGAGTATTTGTAGAGATGTGACAAAGTTTTGACTTTTGATGAAGCTTGCAAAAGTAGTATATTATATTTATATCAATATTAAATTATTAATCAGCCAGAAATGGCAATCTCAAACACGTTTGCACACGTACAAAAGAAAAAAAAATAACGATTGCAAACTGATTCTTATATGTGTAGCCCATTAGGCCCAATTGTCCAAAAGCGTACTTATAGCCCATTTACCCGTTTTCTTTTTTGGATTGTTTTAAAATAAAGAAAAAAATCATCTATATTCTCAAAACGAGCTTCCCATTAAGGCATCAACCACTATAAAATAATATAGAAAAGTTACAAGATATATTGAATCACGAACAAAAAAAAAATGGATTGATGATTACTAAAAGTTATTTATAAAATTGTATTAAATTAACAATAAAACTATAGTATTCGGTTTAATATATAGCTTAGGAAAGCATGATTTATGACATAACGACACAGATATCCGTTTGACATTTTTTTTTTGATAATCCAGTATCCAGACCACACAGTGATCTGACTAGTCCACTGGGCCTAAGCCCGCGTCACAGGGATTTTTAAGCCTCCACTTAAGGGCCCCTGATAAACTGGTGGTCTGGACGCCTGAGCAAGTCCGCAGGTAAATTCCCAGGTGGCCACAGGAGTGAGAGAGCGAAACTGCGTCTGGGGAGGATCGATCCCTGGCCTAGACCAACAGGGCGATCCTTCAAACCAAACGAGAACCACTCGCCCACCACCATGTGGTTTATCCGTTTGACATTTGTTATGCCATTATTAATAATTACTTAAAATATCATTAATAAAATTAGATATTAAAAAAAAAACTACTCTTATTTTATTAATTTTTAGATGCTAATAAATATTGATAATTTGAAGAATTATGTTTCAAAAAAAAAGAAGGAAATTTTGGAGGCGCGGGAGACTGAGCATATTATTTGGCCGGCAGTAATGGGATGCATTTGCTTCAAGTCTTGGCGCCGATCATCTTCTTCACCGTCGATTACATCAACGGTCATTGATGATCTAGAAAACGTCAGAGACGATGTCGACGACGACGGAGGACATTATCCGTTGATTTTCCGTGAGTTCAGTTTAGAGCAGCTGAGAATCGCCACCGACGGTTTCTCCGCCGGAAACGTCGTCTCGGAGCACAATGATTCCGTACCAAACATCGTCTACAAGGGAAAACTCGGAGACGGTCGTCGCATCGCCGTCAAACGGTTTCAAAGACTTTCTTGGCCTGATCCTTTCGAATTCATCGTTAGTCTTTTGATCTTTAATGATTTTGATCTTTTTTTTCTTAAGAAAGTTTTTGATAGCTATGGTGGACTTTTTTCAGAATGAAGCACAAGCTGTTGGGAGATTGAGGAGTGAACATATGGCGAATTTGATCGGTTGTTGTTGTGATGACAACGAGAGATTACTTGTTGCTGAGTATATGCCTAATGGAACACTAGCAAAGCATCTTTTTCACTGTAAAATCTCTTTGTCCTTTTTTTTTTTATCTCTCTCTCTTAATGATTGATGATGATTTTGGTTGATTAAGAGTGTAATGTGCGTGTTCAGGGGAGAAAAGACCGATGAAATGGGAAATGAGGTTGAAAGTTGCTCTGCATACCGCAAGAGCTTTGGAGTATTGTAATGATAAAGGAATAGATTTATACCATGATCTTAATCCTTACAGGATTATGTTTGATAAGGTAATGAATGGCTAAACTCTTTTTGTTTTGTGTGTTTTTCTTGATTTGATCTTCAAGTTCTTGAATGACAGATGGGGAATCCTAAGCTTTCTTGCTTTGGTCTCATGAAGAATAGTCATGAAGGAAAGAATTATAGCACCAACTTAGCATTTGCTCCTCCCGAGTATTTGCGCCTTGGTACCGTGATACCGGAGAGCGTCCCATTTAGCTTTGGAACTCTGTTATTGGATCTTATGAGCGGCAGACATATTCCTCCAAACCATGTAACAAAAGTGGCATATTGAGTTGCATTTTTGACTGATTCTTAGCTTCAATATATGCTAATAATGTGGTTTTTTGTGCAGGCACTTGATTTGTTCAGAGGCAAAAACTATTTGGTGCTAATGGATTCAGCTCTTGATGGTCAGTTCTCTGATGAAGACAGGACAGAACTAATACACATAGCTTCTCGATGTTTGAAGAGTGAACCTGAAGAGAGGCCAAGTATAAAGTTTCTTAAGGCGACTCTTTCTAGACTTCAGAAACGAGCCAAGTTATGTCCTATTAATGTCAAAAGACCTATGTCTGTAAGTGTCACTCTCTCCATATATTCAAGAATCAAGAATATTCAAACAGTGAAATTTGAATTAATGGTATTCATAAATCATATATTAATTGACAGCCTCCATCAAACAATCTGCCTGAAAAGACTAAATCTGCAAAAGAGTCATTGAAGTTGACTCCTTTCGGAGATGCGTGTTCGAGAGCAGATCTAAGTAGTATACATGAACTGCTAGAGAAACTTGGGTATGAAGAAGATGATGGGGTCGGTAACGAGGTATGCTGATGATGTTTATTTACTTATTAGCTGAATTTGATAGTTGGATGTTACTGATTCTGATATATGTGACAGTTTTCATTCCAAATGTGGACGGGAGAAATGCAAGAGAATATGGACTACAAGAAGCATGGAGATGTCGCGTTTCTTGCAAAAGATTTTGATACCGCCATTGAATTCTACACAGAGGTAAAGAATTTCATTGACACATTCTGCAACTCTAAACACTATATCATCAACAAGTATAAATAGAAGGACTGGTCCATTCTTTATTATTTTTTCAGTTCATGAGTGGAGCTCCTGCGGTGTCACCAACAGTATTGGCAAGAAGGTGTCTTTGTTACCTAATGACTGAAATGTTCAGCGAGGCTCTAAGTGATGCGATGCAAGCGCAAGTAGCTTCACCTGAATGGCCAATCCCTCTTTACTTACAAGCAGCTTGTCTCTTCAAGCTAGAGATGGAAGCTGAAGCTAAAGAAGCAGTTAGACATGGTTCTGCTCTTGAGGCTTATTAGACTAACTTTGTGAAAATACTTATTTTGAGAAACTGTGAATATACACAAAAACATGTACAAGTCAATGTGAATAAGTGTGTACCCATTCAAATTTTTTAATTCAATTATGAATGTTCTCTTCTTCTTTTTTTAAATCTTCCAGTTGTTTGATATGATTGCACTCGTGCAAAAAGCTAAAACAGGAATCAAATTCCACACAAAGCAAAAGAAATAAGATTTGAGAAAAGAAAAAAACAGAGGATTTTGATCTTCTTTCTCATTGTTTTGAAGGCAAGTTAAAGTGAAAGAACCATGAGATCACAAATGCACAGACCATACATGTTAAAAGGAAATTAAGGAATCTATTTCCTCTCCAGAATCTCCGATCATCGGAGTCGCTTGTAGCCACCACCGTGGATGTATTTCCGGCCTCTACGTCATCTACATTGGTTTCAACCGTTGTTGTTTGATCAATCTCATTGTCAACTTTAGAAAAGTTTTGAGCTATCGAACGACAAATCTCGCAAGTCCTATAATAAACATTACGATTCTTTGTAAAATCTAAAGAAATGTTTAAAGACTAATGAAGATTAAGATTAAAAAAAATGATGGTTTAGTTTGCTTACTTATTACCCTTGATCTTGAACCAAGTATCGGCACATTGCTTATGAACGTAACCCAAATCATCTTTACAAGAACATCCAAGAACCATTGGATCTCCACATTCATGGCGACTACTCTCTAAACCCAAATGGCAAATCCGGCAATCTTTCTCTGGAGACACTTCCATTGAATCAGAAGGTTCTGATTCTGAGGCTGATACTGAGTCGTCGTCCAAGTCATCAGCCATCTCAAACTCACCGCAAAAGCTACGAACAGCTGAGTGAAAATCGTAGTCGTAATCACAAGATGAACTGTCTTCTCCACTGACGTCACTTCGACGGTAATGGCGTTCGCCGGAACCATTTTCCAAATCAATGTGAGAGATTTCGTAAGATGACATTTTTCATTTGAGAGAGAATAAAGACGAGACTTGGTATAATATGATTTACAAAGACTTCTGTTACAAGTAAACGTGAACTCTTGGATCAAGAGATTAAAAAAGCAAATAAAGATTAAGGTTAAAAAAAAAAAAAAAACATATGAAGTGCTTATGTTTTTGTTCTGTCTGTGGACCAAAGTGATGAAACATTATTTACATAGAGCTTTAATCTTTATTTGTTAATAGAGAAGAAGGAAAACATTAATACAGGCTTTAAGCTGGTATACTCGATTGTTCACTAATCCGCACGCTAAGTATCATCGTGTTATTTGTGTTTTTTTTTAAGGGCATGTGTTTCGTGTTATTTTAGCTACTGATATCTGTTTCTTACCGTTGATTTTGGTCATCGATGTATTGAAAGTCAATGTTGTGGACGGTGGAGATTATATCATGCGCGCGTGGGAGGCACGTGATGGAACTAAGTGTCGTAGTGCGGCTAAGCTTAGGGACCACCGCCTTTAGCTCTGTCTCTCTCTTTCTCCTCATGCTTCTCTTTCACGCCACCATTCACTTCTTCCATGGTTCTTTTTTTATTTATAAAAAGTTATTCATTCCTTAGAAATTTAAAAAGTATTTGTATCCCCTTATTTTTAACAATGGAGAAAAAAATTTGAAAAAATTATGAAATCAAAAATCAAACAAATAAATTTAAGCATATTGCTTGAGAGACTTGAGAGTGTTTGACAGTGGTCGTTACCGTTACCGGACTTAACTGTTTTAGTGTTGGTTGGTTAAAGTTTGGTCGCGTGAGGATCACACGCTCTCTCGATTAGCTTTAAGGCCGATTAATAACAAAACTTGGTCTTATCTTATCTTAGGTCCAACTATTTATATTTTATGGGTCAAACTGACTCAAACCCATCATCATCATTGCAAATCAATAAAACCAAAAAATAAAATAAAATCATTGCAAATCAATGAGAATAGACCCTGCGTTTGGATTTTATGCCATTGCCACCTAATCCATATATATTACCAGAATATTTTAGATATATACATACTGTATGTTTAGATTAGTTTAATATTCTGATTTAAATTTTTGAAAATTTGTTTTGGACTTGACCAAAAAAAAACCAATAAAAAAAGTTTTGGAATGTATTTTTGTATGCATATGTACAGAGTTAAGAGATTGAATCCACCAAATAAAAATATTAATAGCCGAAATTCCCAAACCTCTGCTATTACTCGAAATGGACAATACTAGGCTACTAGCTGACGAATGCAGCAGATAAAGGAAATTAATTAACATAGCGAGTAGAAAACGGACAATGTTAGTACACAAGAGAGATTAAAGAAAGAAAAAAACGTGGGAATTTTAACTACAAACGGTGCGTAGATCACGGGGAAATTAAATTAAAGAAAAGATTTGGTGTTTATGATATTATCATCCACCGTCTTGAGGTTGTTGTTGTGGAGGAGGAGAAGAAGAAGAAGGAGGCTTAGGAATATAAGGATTGAGAGGAGTTCCATGCTCAATAGGACCTGGTTTTATCGTAGCTTTTGTCGTCGGAGTTGGATCCACTGGAAAATTGTAATCCTCCAACCTCAGTTTCATTTCTGTGTGTTTTAAACATTTTCAATATGTGATTAATCATTAATTAGTCCAATAATAGCATGAAATAAAGTAACAAAGAGGATTGGATTACCAGAGGAAGCTAGTGAGAAGCTTAGGATTATTACAACCAAAAGGAAGACAAAGCTTGATGTCTTCATCTTCTTAAGAGAGAATGAGAGATTGAGGAGGAGGAGGAACAATGTAATGAAGAAAGGTTTCTTTAAAGACAGAGAGATAGAGAGAGAGAGAGCAAATTGTAAAATGATGTGTTGATATTGGGAAATAAGGCCATGTGGGGTTTTGGATCTCTGTCTTGAATGTGATGTTGTGGGTTAAAATCGAGATCATAGTTATTGCTCTCTCTCTCTCTCTCTGCTTCTCTCTATACAAGAGAAGAGAGGAAGCATCTCAAACAGCTCAAAGCTCATTCATTGGTTACACTTTAATGCTCAACTCTACTACTTTCTTGTAAGCCACGTGTCCTGAATTCTCTACCTTCCATTAACAGTGTTTTCTCATCGATGTATCTATTTGATCACCATTGATAGAAACGAGGATGAGAAAACAGAAGACAAAAGATAAATGTGGACGGAGGAGACAAGATGGTGAAGAAGATACAGAGTTTGAAGCGGCGCCTTTTTTCTAATACAAGATTGAAGATTAGGTGTGGTTGTTGACTATTTATTTCTTGGGCGTTTAATGTTTTTACTTTTTACTCAATGGTAGAGGATTACACAATAATGTAAGAGAATTAAGAGTAGTAATACTTTTATCTTTTTGGTCACTCACCTAAATAACCCTTTTTTGTTTTCATGTAACGCTATTTTTTTTTTTTAGCCTCTTCGACGTAAAATTGTTTTTGTGTGTTTTCGTATTTCGACTAACGTGGATTTTGTTTGTGTTATTTTCGTGTTGTTATTTTTTAAAAGTTACTTCGTATTTTATGTGTTTGTTTTTTATGTTTAAGAAGAATTTTAGTTTTTCTTAAATGTTTTCATGTTTCGACTAAATTTGTGTGCGTTGTTTGTTTTTTTTTGTTACTTGTGTGTGATTTGTTTTAGAATGTTTTCATGTCTTGTTATGCGATTTGTATTGGGCCGGGGGGCTAGCTATTTTCAGCATTTGTCGCTACGTTTGCACCCTACAACACACATACTAACCCTATACATGTACACTCAACTTTCATTCTCTCATCCTTAACATACATCTACACATCATTCATTCGCATCCATATACCCTATGCATCTATACAACACATAATAACCCTATGCATACATCTACACATCATTCATTCTCATCCCTACACATACATCTATACATAAGTCTTTCATTCTCATCCATACACTATACATACATCGATCTATCTATCTATATATACATAGCAATTTAGTCTTTTTTTTTTTTTCCCTAGCAATTTAGTCTCTTTCACCAATTAAGCAGAAGATGGAAATTCTACACTACACGTACTGTCACAAACGAATCAAGCTTCTGTCGTTTCACTGCCCTCTATGGATCGAATATCAATTTCCATGACAATCCAATTTCCTCTTCTTTTCTCCAACCTCTACAAATAAACCAGAAATAAATAAGAAAAAACATTTCACTATTTCAGACATCATTTAACACCCAACATTTAATTATGGTAATTCTTTTTCAATCAAAACGTACTAACAATTGTTCTACTATCATAGCTAGCATCTATGTTTTTCTTAGGCAGAAACAGAAGACATTATAAAAAAACCAATTTATATACTTTTCTTCTATTTCCTAACACATGCATACAACATTTATGAAGATAACAACATTTCAAGCCCTCATCTTATGAACATTTTTTAAAATGTGATCATACACTATATAGTTCAACAGAAAATAAAATAAAACGATCGAACCAGACTCTTACCTTCTACGATGATGATGCCTCTATGCTTGTCTCCGAGCAAGTGAGAAAACTAAAAAGAGTTTTGAGTTGGATATTCAAGTGGTAGAACATATTAAGAAACAGAGACGAAAACCACATTTGAAGGTAAAGGAGAAAATAAATAAAAAGAATTTTGAACTTTGAACGAAGAAGGTGAGAGAAGTATAAGCTATATTTATAGGGGTCATGATCCATACTTTTTAATTTAAAAACAAAAATCAAGTTCATATTCACAACGGTAAGATGATCTTAATTGTTTCTAAACGGTCATATTTTGTTCGGCATCCAATTCCAACGTTCGGATGTCAAATCTAAAAGTGACAGATTAATTAAAAAAAAAACATTTTTAATTAAATTGTAACAACCACATAATTTTACACGTATTACAGAAGCGCCCTCTATAACGGTCATTTACTCAAACGTGGTTTAAGTAATAAATTATCTCATCGATACTTTTTTCTTTTCTTATCCAGCTTCGCTGAATAAAATCTCTGATATCCCGACGAAATAATCTTAATCTTGTGTTAATGTATAGATTAACGTTAGAAAATGGAATGCATCCGATATTATTTATACGTAAGTTATAATTAAATCATCAGCAGCGATTTTTTTAAAAACGTAATAGTATAAATCGTTCCCAAAAAATAGTATATAGTTACTCGATGGGCCACCTGATAATGGGCTTACCATAACTACAAATATTTTAAGCCCATAGCATCGTTTCTGAACAAATCGAATTAAAGCACGTTTCAAAACGAAACTTAAATCCAAAAACTAATCCTACAAAACATATTAATAAAGTTCACACTATATTGAACTGAAATCAATCGAAATATTAATACCTAAATAAAAAGTGTTTAAATTAACAATCTTTTTGGAGAACTAAAAAGTTTATACGTAATTATTTTGTGGTGGGTATAGATTTGATATAGATTAGATTATTTGTGGAAGACATAAATGTAACAAGAGTCGGGACAGAGCATTAATGGTCCATGGTTTAAAACATTAAATTGAATGCACAAAGTGTCAGCGAGTACTTTTGTCAGTCTTCCAAATAAATGCACCCCAAATTTATTTCTATTTATCTTCAGTATTGAGTCTCTCGTTTTTTATCCTTATATTTCATTTGCCCAAACAAAGCATTTGATTATGTCTCAATGATATTCGCCGGTGTGTTTTGCCACATTTCATACGTAACCAAAAGTGAGAAACTACAGTATTTATTTCACTCTATATGCCTCGTAAACATCCTTTATATGAACTCTCATAAAGTTAAATTTGAAATCTCATTAAAATTCATAACAATAGTCATCATTATTGTGCTTATTTTAATTATTTTTGGACAATATTAACACTCTAACAGTGATCATGAAACATTGATTTCCTTCTTCCACTCACATTATTGTGCTTATTTAATTATTAGGCTGCATGTGACGACGATATATGGATATACTTTAAAATAAACCATAGTCCAATATTTTAGGCTTTTAGCATTAAAATATCCATTTTATAACTAAAATTGGAAAAATCTAGAATTGTTTCCTGAGCAAAGAATGGAAAAAGAAAGAAAGAAACAACTCACTGTAAACTGATTTCTAATAAGATAAACAAGATGCTGCCAAAGGAGAAGGTTCTTATTACTTCTTAGAGTTTAAGTCACCCTCTTTCGACCTTACAAAATTCGAGTCTTTTTTCAACTATGAGTTTTGATCATTTTAAATGAACAAAAAAATTACATAAGGTTTTTCTATAAAACACAGAAACTCTGCCTAATGCGAACATTTTTAACTCCACCGGACAAGCCACGAGCATGTTATGGGCATTTGCATTTCATTTTATCTTTGAACTTTTTTTTAGCATTTTAAAATAAATAATTTCGGTAACATAATCATCAATGGTTGTCCACTAATTAACCCATTTATTTATTAGAGAGATACGAGAGATCCCTTTTAGATTCCATCTTCTTCCTTCTTCTTCTTTTCGCCAAACAATTCCACCTTTATTATCTTAAACCCCACATTTTCTATTTCCTTTTTGTTTATAGACAATTTATATGATTTCTTCTTGCACTATCTAATAAAACAAGTTATGACCTAATCTCATTTTGACAAATAGTCAAATAATCAACAACACCTTAAAACACTTTCCGCATTAAAACCATATTCATACATCATTTTTTTTGGCAAGATTAGTAAAATTCTACATCATTACACAGTCTAAATAAATATTTAGATTATCGTAACATTAATATTTAGATTAGTTTATTTATAAAATAAAAAGAGTGGGGCTAAAATGTCACAATCTAGAACATGGGGGCTACGAAAGAGAGAAGATAAAAGAAGTGGGTATAAGAACAGAAATAGCATTAATTGAATTTTTTTCTTTCCCTTACTCAGCAACCACTGAGATATAGAGTGTTGTTGTTTGAGAGCGAATCAAGGTTCCTCCAAAGAAAGAAGATGACTTTAATTCTTATTTAATTTCTTTTCTCCTTTTGCTTCACCAAAATCCACACACTCATCAATTAAAAAACAAACCCTAAATTCTTGAAAACTGGAACTTAGTCAAGAATCCTAAAAAGAGAGCTCCTTTACTTTTCTTGAACCCAGTTTCTTCAAGCTCAGCTATGGCGGTCTTCAAAACCCTAGCTTTTCTGTTCTTTTTATGCTTCGGGATTTACCAAGCAGTGGCTGTTACAGATGTAAATTCATCGTTTTCGTTTAATGGGTTTGTGAAATCTCCAAGCTTTGACAAGAATGTTGCTCTGTTTGGAGATTCGAAGCTCGTTAATGGCGGTCCATCGATTCAATTGACTGACTCAGTGAGTCGAAGTGAAGGGCGAGTTATTTACAAGAAACCCATCAGACTGTTCCAAGGTAAAGAGAGAAACTTTTCCGGATCATTCTCGACTAGTTTCTCGTTTTCGATGTCTGATGAGATTGGTAGTGTCCTGGCTTTTGTAATGGTTCCAAGAGGTTTGGATCTTAGGTTGTTTGGTAGAAAGGGTAATAGTTCCTCTGGTCTAGGGTTCTTATTGAAACACAAGGTTGTTGCTGTTGAGTTTGGTATCTCCAAAAGAGGGAATCGTGTTGGGATCTTAGTTGGTAGACCTGAATCTGGTAAAGTTAGAAAGTTATCATCTTTTGGTGACCATTTCAATGGAGAGAAGAAATTGAATTGTTGGATTGATTATGAGGCAAGTTCAAAGAGAATAGAGGTTCGTTTGAGTCTATCTACGGCTTTAAAGCCGGTGGATCCATTTGTGTCTTACTTGGTAGACTTGGCTAAGCTATGGAAAGATGGGAAGTTCATGGTGGGTTTAACCTCTGCAAATGGAAAGTCTTCAAAGCCAGTTTATCTCCATTCATGGAACTTTAAACTGAGACATCCTTCGATGAGGATTCACTCACAGCCGCTTGATCCAAACGATGTTTCCAAGACTGTTAAGGAAGGGGAGAAGACGGTGGAAGTTAAGGGGAAAGGAAAATGCATATGGAGAATCCTTGGTGCATTGGTTTTAGGTGCGGTTTGTGGGACTTTAGGAGCGATGTCAGCGTTGTACCTTTGGACAATATGCGGTAATCGGCAGTCAATGGCAATAGTTCCTGAGGAATGTGCTAACGAAAAAGCGGATATCGTTGTAATGAAATCAGATGTTGTTGATGAAGAAGGGAAGAAGTAGCAGAAAGATAAGAGTTTGGTTGTTTTTTTTAGAATGTTGTATTTGTCTTTGTTGTTTGTAATGTAAATTCTTGTGGCCTTCTTTATTCTTCTTATGTTTGTTTTTTTGTTAGTTGCAGATTTGGTGAGATGAGTTTTCACATGTAGAATCTTACAATATATGTATTAAATTAAGATCCTGAGATCTTGATCAATGCAATTGTCTTTTGTTATTTCATTTGACAAGTAAGAGGAGACGTGAGTGAATTGAAGTAAAGAGTTTGTTCCAAAAGAGAAAGCAAAGGGATTCTCGTGAATTCTACAAAATGCATTTATAATCAGTTGCCACTTTCAGACATCTTTCTCTGTGTCTTTTCTCTATCTTGACCGATAAGAAAGTGAGAGGAGAGTAACAGTGGAATGTGTATTGTCTCCATTGGTCCCCCTCCTCGATCTAGAGATTTATTGCTTTGAGCAGAGTTCGAATTTACTTTCAAAGTTACTGCTTCTAAATCAGTGGGTTAAAGTTGAGTGCTATATAGTTTATCAAAATTGACTTTGATATTGTATAAGCAATGATTGGTATTTGATTGTTGAGTTCACAAATCTTGCTTATATTTCTCCAATTTCCTACTATAATTAGAATACTTAAAATAAATAAAAAAACACTAATCTACAAATGAACAGAAAAGAAAAAACCAAAAATTAGGTGATCCCGTTGTGTATGTGCGTATAATTAATGAAAAAAATCGTTGAATTGAAACCTCTATCTCAGAGAGTGTGCTCGTAGACTTGGTCTTTCAAACCGGTTAAGGCTTGATTGTTCCTCAGACGTATCGCACAAGCAACCTGGAAGAGGGTTAGCATAAAAATTCTCCTCCAACTTTGGACTCAAGCCTGCCTTTCCTGGCCGCCTAAGATACGGTGCTCCAACTCTATTCTGATGTAGTTTCTTAACCTTAGACGAGAAATCATCCCAAGATATGAGTCCTGCATCGAGGCGATCAATCAATCTCACAAATCTTTGCCTGAAAAAACCATGGTACAATGTCAGTTTTAAGTGCATCGATAATGGAAAAGGGGTTTCTTTACACGCAAGAAACATATGCCGTACCTATCGGGGTTAATCGTTTTTCTAAACCCTTCAAATCTCCGGTGACCTTGAACCGCTTTCGCCATGTTTCCATCATAAGTATAAGCGAAAACATCGCTTTCGAGTGCTAAATTGTAATCAAGAGCAGCTAATCTGTTCTGGTAAGGTTTAATAGTCGAAAGCTCTTCCTCGGTGGCCAATGTAGAGTGAAAGAAAACGTTTGGGAACTCTTCGTGGAACGCAGTCATACTGTTCTGACCGTAGATCTCTCCTGCAACAATGTAGATATTCGTGGTCGAAGGAAACCCCATCGCCTTGAGGAAGATGGCAGCTTCACGCGGAGTCATAGGGCAGTTACCTTCAAGACGCCGTTCTGTACCATTGATCACTTTTTCTTTCCAATGTGGAATACTATACCTCATCTTCTCAAGATCATTCGATTCTTCATTGAATAGACTGTGATTGCATCCGGTAAACGCCAACATATCTTTCTCGTACCTAAAATGGAAATTTCGATTAATTGATGATTCTCTCAGCATCATTCAATAGAGTGAGAGAGAGTAATAGTGGTAGCTTGTACCGCAAGTGAAGAGCGAGGTAGGGTTCGTTGTTTTCTCTAAGTCTTGAAGCTAGAACATTGCTTAGATTCTCTATATCTTCAGAGTAGCGAAGAGCTTCATAGTTCGCGCGACATCTGAGCCTCTGGATCGAAGGAGGCGGACTGTTGTTTGCTAGCCGAGAATCAGTGTGATTGAATACAATCACCTTATGCTTCTTCAGTAACTTGGAGATCGAGTTTCTGTAGTAACTCGACTGCACACAATCAAACCAATACAGAGTTAGTTAAAATCGCTGAATAACCAAAAGAGATAACAGAGAAGTTGAAAAAAGTAAATGAAAAGGTTTACCTTAGACCAGGACACAGGATTCTTTTCAAGAGGCTTAATAGAAGCAAATTCTTGCGGTAAATACTCAACAATATTGACATCTTCTGCTAGAACTTTGATGAAATGTTTCCAGTCGAAAATGTCCTTGAACGAGCTGAAAAATGAGAGCTTAATTATAGATTATGATGATGATGATGGTAATGTTGAATTGATTGATGATGATTAGTACCTTGGATCACTCCAGAAAGATGAATGGTCAAGAAACGGAAGAACAAGAGTCGCGTTCATGATTTTAGCGATTGCGACCATATCACATATCTGTGAAGAAGAAATTAAATGAGGATTTGAGGAAATCTTGTGCTGGAAACATAAAACAGAAGAAGAAGAGACTTACACCAGTTCTCATCTGATTCAAACCACCATTGGCGTGAACAAGAAGGTAACCATTGGTTTGCTTGATTGGTCCTAAACGCAGAAAAAAAACCGATTACTTATGTCTGAAATTTCTTGGCTTTTGTCGGAAATGAAGAGAAGAAATGAGGAAAAACTTACTTTGGTTCTTAGGACGAGCTACACATTTCTGATAGTTCCCAGTCTTTGGTTGATTCCAAATCTCTGGGATCTGTTGGAAAACATGCCACAAAGGCAAAATTAGTTCACAATCAAACGATTTGCTAATGAATAAAAAGCCCAATGGGCCAACAAACAAAATAAAAAGTTTATAAGCTGTTATGATGTGATTAGCTAAGGATAAATATTGGATTAGTTATTAAATAGATAAATAAACGAAGTCAACCGCTTGACGCATGGAAGACCGAAGACCCACGATGACTTTGCATTATCCAAAAAAAAAAAATGAATTTAATATTTTCTAACGAAATTCCTTTTACGAAAACTAATCCACTAATAAGAAAAACCACAAATTAAAAAATATATTCACATTTATTATTTTTTCATAAGATTCAGCTCCGAATTTTTGTCGACATGAACAGAATCTAAACATGGTTCGGTTTTTTTTAAGAAAAAAAATAAAAACTTTTGTTGACTCTGATCTTGGGAAAATGAGCATACCGATTTAGTCTTTGGTACGAGGACTTGAAAGGAATTGGATGATTCATCTTCTCTAATGATTTTCTCAATCGTTGGTCTTGGATGAATTGAAACAACGAATTCATGTTTCTCCACGTGTCTTCGCCGTCGTCCAACGCCGCCGGAGAGAGCAACGATGAGGAAAAAAGTTACGACGAGTATGGTCAATAACTTTAGAATCAAACGGCCAAGATTGGTCGAGGATCTCATGTTACGAGCAATCCCAGCCGTCCATTTAGATTTGTTCTCAACCATTAGCATCCACACGAGCCTGAATTTGCGGAGAGAGAGGAACCCGACGAGGTAATTGTGGTGGGAGCCACTAGGACAACACGGTGTTCCTCCTACTCCTCCTCCGCCGCCGCAGCTCGTGACGGTTTCTTCCTCGTCGGGGACGTAAACGACTGCGTTTCCTCCTCCGACGGTGTGGACGAGGGAATGATCTTCTTGAGAATCAGCCATGCGCCGTCTTGTTGTTGTTGTTGGCGCCGCCGGCAATTGGCTGCTGCTCGACGGATTCACCGGAACGCCGACTGACATGTGGCCGCCGGGAAAAACAGGGGATATTTTAGGAAACTTTTTGGGAGAAATGAAACAAAAAATATGATCGGAGAGAGATATTTAGGAATCAATGAAGATTCTCCATTGTTGAAACTTTGGTTTTCTACTTCTTCTCTCTATATATATATATAACTCAGCGTGATCTCAGGCTAAGCAGACAAAACAATCTCTCTCGAATTCTTTTTTTCCTCTCTCTTTCCTTCTCCAATATATTTAGAGAACGAATATTTTATTTACATGGGCCATATATAAAGCTAAAAAGTCGTTTTTATTTGATGTCGAAAAATAAAAGTCGTTTTTATTTGTGGAAAATAAAAGTCGTTTTATACTACTTTGCTTTGTTTTTTTTTTTTGTTATGCTACTTTGTTATTCGGAGTTTTCTTTTAATTCACATGTAAAATGTTCGTTATTAATCATTGGTGTACGTAAATTTGCTTCTAAGAACTAATTAATCAGAATTTATATATCGAAATATTTTCTAGTTATAAACTTATTTTCTAATATCTTGACGTATGTTGTTTTTTTTAAAAAGTAATAAAAGTCACGAAAGTATAGTATTATTTTTTATTTTTTTGGTTGATAACGTCTCGAGACGTAGTTGATAATTACTGCTTTCTTATTTAAAATAAAATACCATTCATATTTTAACGATGTTGGTTTCGTTTAATATTAATTGCATTTGCCTAACTAGTAACTACTAGACACGTCGAATTTAGAAAGCAACAGATTTGCATATTAATGATTTTGTTAGTATTAATTCGACATTTCGTATAACTGTTTTAGGTTTGGTGTTATTATAAAAGTAAACAGTATGCACGAGTCAATAGTTTGCACGTCGACGAAAGACAAGTGTAGTTACTTTTAGAGATATTTACTTTTTACCACACTTTCTCAAGTTCTCTATCATTCTAGCACACTTTCTAATCTTAACAAACTTTCTTGTGGGTGTTATTACCTAGTTACCCTCTAACTAATACACTCTCTCATCTCTAACCAAAGTTTTGTCTCAAACTACAACCCTTACCAAACAAAACCAAATCTTTATCGTCTCTTTCTTCTTCTTATATTATCTCCATGGTAAGCTCAATTTTCCACTTATTTTCTCGATCTGCAGTGTGCTTCTCTCGATTTTGGTTTCGTCTCGTATACGAATCTTTTGATTACAATTCTGGTTCATTTTGTTGTTTCGTTAGATCTGTCACTGGAATTTGGTTTTAGATCTCTGAGATTTGGAGTTTTTGTGATCGTTGTGTGACTGATCTAGGATCAAAACTGTGCGAGAGAGCTTCTCTGTTGAGTTTACTGTGTTTTTTTTTTTCGATTCCGATTGCTAAAATTTGAAATCAGAAGAGTTATTTTGGGCTTCTTGTTCTTGCAAAAAATTTCAAGTGATATATCAATTTCGATAATATTTTGTTGTTTCTCCTATTGATTGATTCATCATAAATCAGAAGAGTTGTTTCTGGTAAGATCTATGTTGCTGGAGGTGGTGGTGGTTTGGAAGTTGCGACGGCCAACATCTCTCTGAGGACGACTTTCAACTTCTCTGCGAATACGTACGCCTTCTTCTTCTTCTTCTTTGTTCTTTTGCTTGCTTTTTCTTTTGGGAAGATTAATGCATCTACAAAACCCAATTCTTAACTCACTCTATTGAGGCTTTAGAGCTTGATTTGTGGCACTTTACTTTGAATCTGGTCTCTCTAGCTACTTTAATGTTTCCTTTGTCATTTTTGGTTTACGGATTTTAGGATTTTTTTCAATAGAGAATTTATTGACTTTGGTGTATGGAGATGTAGTTTCTTATACGTGTGCTTTGTGGTGTGAATGGTGCTTGTGTACAGGTTGGTGAAGATAAGTTTGAAGACACATGAGAGTTTTTCGTGAGAGAAGAAGACATCATGTTATGGTCAAGTCTAAATGGACAATGGCTGCCTCTCCGTTCTCCTTCAACAATGATTTCTTCTCTGTTCTAACCATATCCTGATTTGATTTTTGCTCTCTCTTATGTGTCGAACTCGTTTCATCGACGTAGTAACACAGTCACTTAGGAAAAAGACAATGAACTTCTTTATCCTCTCCGTCGCCGTTTTCGTTGCTCTCGGTTTATCATCTCATCCACAATATGTTGATTCATCTGCTGCCTCCTCACAGGATCCTCTCAGACTCAAGTAGTTGTGTGTGTTTTATGGTCTTTGTTGCTTTGGAGAAACTCTTTTGTGGTCATAGCACCACATCCACATGTTCACATGAATCTCGCCATTCACAAAAAATGAACGATGTACTTTGAATTGGCAATTATTTTTCATGTATAAACTTGTGTCCATACGTTTGAATTGGATTGGTAATTTTTAAATGGGCATATGATAGGATTGGTTAGTTCCATATGGATACGTTATGTATACCCATATGGGTACGTGGTCAGTTCCATATGGATACGTTATGTATATCCATATGGGTACGTTATGTATTATTTCTTTTAACTATTCTTTCGTTCATATCCATTAGCTAATAAGTTTGGTAATCTCTCATTGAAATCCACCAACTTTATAAGAAGCAAACCACCAATTTTATTAGTTTTCACTAGACTAGTTTTAAAAGTCATTTATGATGTGTGTTTGGTAATCTCTCATTGAAATAGACATGTGGACACATAATTATGGACACGATTCAAAATCATCTTTCGTTCTCAATATGATGACACCAAAATGTCCACGACTGAGTTCTCTATACACACTTTATGGATGGTCAAAGGATATTGCTTAGATCAAGTTCTCTATACACACTTTATGACACCGAGATAGTCAACATAGATTACTTGTCATCATCCATATATACAATCTTTGATGGAAACCTTACTTGTCATGTTCTTCTCTTTTATTTGAATCAAATTAGATCAGAACTCTTGAATCGATACATGTGCATTTTTGTTCTTTCAAGCTTTGCATTCACTTTCTCTCAAAGAAGGAGAAGAATTAGAAGAAGTTCAGTGGTTGAGAATGGTTATAAACTTATAATGCTTGGAAACTATCTTGACCCAACCAATGCCTTTGAAGCCTTTATCAATTCTCATAACCACATTCCTTCCCTTTCTGTCACAATTATACACTATTAAATTCAGACACGACTTCGACAAAGTCTAACATACAACGATAACAAGATCAAAGAGAGGAACCACAACAAGCTGAACAAATGGATATGGAATTCAATACTAGAAACCACATCTATGGCATTGGCCTATTCGGTCTTTTCACAGCTTGGTGGTCCATGGTACAACTTGGTGGCTTCTTCTCAAAAAATCACTTTTTCCAAACCAATCTCTCCAACCTTCTCTCAATTGGCAATACCTTAACATGTACTCATCCATCTGTTTCTATCCACATAGCACCGCTCCTCTGGACGCTAGATCAGAAAGTCTTTTATCCCTTGCAAAATCAGCCTACACAAGACAAGAAATGAAACTTAACAGCTCAGTCCCTTCTCCAACAAAGTGTATCCACATCGCCAAACAACATTGAACATATTTATTAGTATATGGCGGTGTCGGATCTAGTGACAAACAAGTAACCATACACAAGTGACTATCGATATAAACATAGGTAAGACCTTTTCATTGATCGATTGATTGTGTATTTACAATCTTTCAACATGGTCGAAATAAAATCCAGAAAATGAATAAGCTCTTGTTCTTGTTCCAATTAAGATCTATTGTTAATGGATTCGGAGCTAGAGGCTAGAGCGTAGGTGATTCAACATCTTTGTCGGAGCTAGAGGCTAGAGCGGAGGTGATTTGACGTTGGCTTCTTCTTCAATTGAGGAGTATTGAAACGAATTTGAAATCGAGTTGCAAATGTTGTTGTTACCTTTAATGTTGGCTTCTATATTCTTTATATTTTTTCACCTTTTGATTTTGTTGAAATCGATGACTACAAAACCTTATCTAGAATTAAGCAGCAAATGTTGTTGTTCCAAACGGAAGAGAAAAGCATTGGATCGTAGCTGGCGCGACCAGACGAGTGAGTTGCAGCGGGGGTTTGAAAGGAGAGAGAGAAGAGAGAGAGAGAGAAAGATAGAGAGAGTTGAAATTCTTATTTGTTTTTGTTGATGACTTACGCTTCTTTTGCTTTTTGGAAGAAAAGAGATATTTTGTTTCAAATATTTAGTTGGGGGTATAATAGTATTGATTTTTTACAAACAGTAAAAAAAAGATGAAAAACACAGAATATGTGTCTTTTGTTAGAAAACTCAAGAAAAGTGTCCCATTGTGTAACTCACCCTTACTTTTATCAAATTCATCTCTTTAAATTAATATTTAACTCTTTCAACTAACAAACAGTTTTCATTTAAACTGAAATCTCTGTAATTTCAATTGATAGATATCCAGTGAAATAAAATTATTGCGATAACCTAAATAATATCATTACATTAATATTTTTTTGTAATATAATTATATGAATAAATCATCGTACGATAAAATCAAATCACACAAAACGTATTATCATTTCCATATCATAACCACTCTTCTTCTTTTGTTGGGTTTAGTGAATTAACCGTATTTAGATATTAAACCTATTGAAATTTTATATTATTATATTATATATAATAAAATTGAATAGTAGTTGTAATATGCTTTGCTATTTAAAATGAAATGTAATTCTAGCAGCGCTCATCGATTGGTAGTATATCTAAAACGAGGGTTATTCTGAAGTATTCAAAGTCCTTCCAAATTAAGTATGGATTTTAATGCATTTCATCGAAATATTTATGTCAAGTTTCTTTTTTTTTTAGATTTAAGTGTTTAACAATATACTTACTAGACTAGTTGCCGTATAGACTGACCAATTCCATTAAAACACTAGCTTATGCATAAAAATAGCAAGTGTGTTTATCATGCAGTCAATTTTTCTTATTTCTTAATGTTAATATGTTATAGAATCCTAAGAAGACGGCAGTTTAAATAAACTCAGTAGCTACTAGCTATTTAATTTTGTTACTTTATTCAACAATTAGTTAGTCCGTCACATTAGTGATCACGCATTAATCTTTTCCTTTCTAAGAACAAAGTAGAAAAATTAAATCACTATACGCTAGAGGTTACGTGTAGCTAATAATTAAATTGTCAGGGTTTCCTTTCGTATATAAACCCTACGGTTCCATATCATATAGTGACATTTTGTGTAGGATTAAGCTCTACATTTATAGATAATAATTCGTTTCTCTTAAAAGAGGTAAAAAAAAATAAACGTTGTCAAATTTTATTACCTTAAACAAAAATCGATTGAATAGTGGTGCAGACAATATAATGTGGGTAAGAAACTTATAATAAAGCTACAAACAGAAAAATTAAGAAAAAAAAAAAAGAGTATGGCTAATGACATGTGAAACAATATAACAATGATGGCCTTTATGAAATGTTTTGAGTATTAAAAGTGAAAGGCCTTTAGGATAAATTCGAACGTTGCTCGATTTCCCAAATTGTTTTGTCCTCTTCCCACGTCCTTTTCATTTAGATCTTGATTAATATGATACCCCATACCGAATAAAATTCAAATACTACTATACAAAAACTAAATGCATTAATATACGATTACTTGCGTTTTTCGTAGAGCGTTTTATACCAAGTGGTGTTGTTGTTGTTTTTTTTTTTTAACCACTATGTTTTGTATACCCACAACTATCTCAGTTCCAAGATTCTCGATAACAATTTTTTTTTTTAACCACTATGTTTTGTATACCCCCAACTATCTCAGTTCCAAGATTCTCGATAACAAATAGACACGTCTCAAAGACTTGTTTACATGTTTCAAAAGTACTTTAACCCACTTAGTTTGGTAACCGTTAGAGTTCCACCAAAGTTAATAAAAATAATTATTATGTAACTTTTGAGTCGGAGTATCAGACTATTTTATTCTTTACTTCTGAGCTCGAATTGTAATAGTTCTATTGTTAACCAACATAATTAATTGCTTAATCCGGTAAAATCAGTCCATAAACTTATAAGCTTACCGATAAATTAGTCACAAATGCGTTCTACATGAAATTGATTTTAGAGCTATAATATTGAAAATAATTGATATAGATAGAATTTCGAACTCATTGATCTGATACCTGACCTATAGGCGATAGTAATAAAAGAAAAACGTTATGTATAAGAAACTGTTATTACCAAGTGGAAAACTACAATGCATATTCATCATCAACCTGTAATGTAGGATTTTAAGATGGTAACGTACCTAAGAAGATGGACTTTGAAACAATTAAAAGCCAATCATACAAATTACTGATTATTATTAATTATATATAGTTTAGTGGAAGAATCCACAGTACAACTTTATGTTCTGGTCTCAAGACCATATAACACTCCGAACCGCGATTTCCCACGTTTTCGCAACCAATTCTCTTGTCTCATAAACCGATTCTCCAAACGAAATTATTTTTTTAACTTTTGAAACAACAGAAGAGGAAGTGGAGTTCGAACTCCGGTGACGTCAAAAAGCTCAAAATGGACCAGACTAACTAGAAACCTTTGGACTTTTAGTCGACATCATAACACGCTTTGAAAAATGGACTTCGAGACTCACAAATGACCCATTCTCTAGAACCGATATCGGGACAGAGACACACAAAAATGGAGTATATGTCAACGTGTATAATATAATAATATATAGTATTACGAATCATAGAAAGAGGTTGTGAATGGGGGCCACGCGCCATTTAGGTGGAACTTCCACCGTTGAAGTTTCAAGTCTCTCCACTTTGTTTACTTTGAAGGGGAAGTCAAAATCTCTCACCTACACCTGAAAACTAAAGGTTCGTAGTTGGGATGATTGTTGTTAGCCAGTGTTGGCAAATTCTATATATCCCATAATTCCGATTCATAGTTTCATTTTCATATACGGATGTTGAATAAAGCTATATAAGTAATAATTAACAATTCTCATATACATTCCGATTCATAGTTTCAAAAGTATTTATTAAGAAACCATTATTTTTCCTTAATATGATTGGTACGTAGAATATTGTGTTGTCTGCTACAATACAACTCACGTATGATAGAACAAACGCGTACGGAGGTTGTTCTCCGTCCCCACCGTCATCACCGACATATCCTTTTAGCAGCTACCCTTTCTTTTCCATTTTACTTTTCAATTTATTTAACAACCATTATTTCTTGGTTATGTTGTACTAAAATGGAAAATACTCAAATAGCTTGTGCTTAGAATTTAAACATACAAATCTTAATACCTCTGTTTCAACTTTCATATATTTTACTTATGTGTTATTGATACATAATTTGACTAAATAAAACAATATTTGGTAATTTCAAAAAAGAAAAGAAAAGTATGCGTATAAAACTATAAATTTTGGACTGACTAAATGGTATATTACAAGAAACTGAGGTCTAATATGAATGTTATAAAGTACGGGGACCATTTTGCTATTCAAGAAAGTCAAGTTCCTTGAGCTTCTGCAGTGACACACATCTTTGGTCCTTTGACCAAAAAACATCAATATCAACTCTATCTAGGATCAGCTTGGAGCTACTCAAGTAGAGTAAAGCCACAGAATTCAGCAAGATTTCGAAGCAACTGATTCAGAATTTATCATCAGGAGAGAATCCTCTCTGCAGCATCTCATCGTGAAACCGAAATGCCTCCGTTAAGTTATCTTGAGAAACAAATCCATTGATCAGAGAAGTATACGTTGACCTATCAGGATTGACACCTCTCTCGATCATCTTCCTTAGCACAGCCTCAGCTTCTTTCATCTGATTTTCTCTACAAAACCCATGTAAGATCGAATTGTACGTAAAGACATCAGGTACTAATCCTCCTTGCTTCTCCTCCATCTTCTTCACCAAACCAAAAGCTTTGCTCATATTTTCTTCTTTAACAAAACCGTATATCAATGTGTTGTAACTGATGCAATCCGGTACAAAACCTTCTGAGATCATCTTTTCCAAAAAGATTTCTCCATCTGAGGCATTACCAGAGCGGCAATATCCCTTTATCATAGAGTTACAAATCATGACCGTTGGCTTTATACTTTTACTGATCATTTCATCCCAAACTCGAAATGCTTCAGAAAGATGGCCTTTACTGCACAACGCGTTAACCAAAATGCTGAACGATATTGGAGTGGGAAGTATCTCTTTTGATACCATATCTGCCCATATCTCTTTTGCTGTATCGATATCGCCTACTTTACCAAACCCATCTAACAGAGTGTTGTATGTCACAACATCGAGTTTGATTCTCTTTTCCTTCATCTTTTTAAAGAGCTCCATTGCGTTCTGCAGATTTCCGAGCTTACAATGTCCATCAATCAGTATAGTTAAAGTATAAGAATCGGGAAATAAACCCCTTTCGGTCATTTCGTTGAACAATTTATCCGCTTCACCCAACATTTTCCGTTTGCATAACCCGTGCAAAATGGTGTTGTAGGTAACAACATCCATAGCACAACCCTGCTGAAGCATTTCATTTCTCAAATTCATAGCTTCAGAGATCATACCTTTTCTACAGTACCCTTGGATAAGAATGGTGTAGATCACATTGTCAGGAATCAGACCAGCCTCCTTCACACTGTTAAAGTACATTAATGCCTTATCGAGATTTCCACTCCGAGTAAAAAGACTCATCATCGAGCTAAAGCAAACCAAATCCGGAACAACATCCCTAGATCTCATATCACTGAAAATATTTTCCGTTTCGACCGCATCTCCCTTCTTACAAGCCTCCATCAGCAATGACCTGTAGGTAGTGGAGTCAGGACTCAACCCGGATCTCAACATCTCCGCGAAAACTTCCTTGGCTCTCTCATATTTCCCATGCTTACACAGTCCATTTATCACAGTATTATAAGTATAAACACCAGGACTAAACCCTTTGCTCGGCATAGCATGCATCAACTCAAATGCCTCTTCCATGAGACCTTGACTAGAGTATGCACTAATCAATGTATTATATGTTACAATATCCGGATAAACCCCTTTCTCTTGCACTTCTGACAAAAAGGTTCCGACTTTTTCCATTTTACCATCTTTGCACAAAGCATTAACCATGATATTGAGAGTATAAACATTAACACCAACGCCACTCCGAGAAATCTCCTGATAAATACGCCAAGCCAACTCTACCCACCCAATCCTCACCAAGCTCCCGATGAGAGCATTACACGCATCGATAGAAACCGTGTAACCTTTGCTTCTCAGCAATGTAAAAGCCTCATATGCTTCTCTAAGTTTTCTAGCTTGTACAAAAGTCCTAATCAACAAATCGAAAACCGAATCATTCGAACCACAATTACTATACGTCGAAACCAAGGAATTCACAATCTCTACTCTAGAAACACCACTCCTCCTAATCATCCTAAGAACACAACTCTGTGCATCAGACAATCTTCCACTCCTCACCAAAATATGAATCATCGCGCTTAAAGACAAAGACGTATGTTTGAAATTCGGAAAATTGAACCCTAATTGATCCACGAATCTTTGACCTAAACTTAAATCATTACGGCAACGGTACAAAACCTCAACGACGGCTAAAGGGTTCAACCGAATCAGGTGGTTTCTCACATTACTATTACCCTGCTTCAAACTGAAACAGATTTTCTCCACCAAGAAAGAATCTGAATCTGAATCCGAAGCTGAAGAAGAAGACGAGGGCTCGAATTCAGGAGATGTTGCCAAGGTTTTGAGAGGTTTGAATCGAGTGAGAGGGTTTTTTACGCGGGATATTCTGGAAGGTATTATACGGTGAATAACCATTTTTTTTTTCTGGTTGAGAGAGATCAGAGAGACTCAATTTGACTTTTCGATTCAGAGAAAAAATGGAAACTTGAAAATTTAGTTTGGTTCTTCATTCTGAGTTTCTCTGTCTGATAGCTCCTCTCACTCTTGAGAGCTCAGATCTAAACGACGACGTTTATGTGACTCTCAACGATCCGGTTTTAATTGGGCTGAGAATTCCTTTTTAAGTTCACGATCGACCCATGACGGCCCAAATTAAATGTTTTCCGAAAAAGCCTAAAATATGTAAACATTTAAACCATTGTTAATCTTTAATCACGCATTTAATAAATAGAAAACCTTGTAAGTATATATTTTCCCGCTTCTCTCCGGCTCTTCCTCGATGAAAACCTAAAAGTCCCATCGCGAGAGAACAATTGCCTTATTCACTGTCAAATTTCAACCATAAAGAAGAAAATTAGCTTAAAAGGTACAATTTTTCGAAACGATATTGCTCGTTTCGTTGAATGTTGTTCATACGGTCGTCTTTTTTTTCCCCTTCAATCTTGTTTTATCGGATTTTATCAATAATCAATCTACAACGCAAGTTTTTTCCCCAGGAATCGATCGGGTTTTTAGTTTCCTCTGTCTCTAAGCGAAAAACCCCAATCTTATTTTGTGACATTAGTCTATCTTCTTCTGAGATTTCTGTTTATTGTTATCCCCATTGGTTCATGATCTTTCATGTTAAAGATTGTTGATTGATCTGCATATATAAAAATGTAACCTTTTTAAGTGTATCAATGCAAATTTTTGTCTCAAACATGGCTCTCATTTTGGGTATTTGCTTGATTGATCTATTTGCAAATTATGTTTCTTCCCAACAGAATGTGAATCTGAATGTAAGTGCTTGGTAGTTGTTTTCTAATTGTGTGTCAAGGATAAAGCTTAAAAGGGGTCTGTTTTTTCTTAGGTTCTCATTCGTCTGATCTACAATGGCTCAGAGTTCTACGGAACCAAAGGTTAGTTTGAGACTTATCATTGATGAAAAGAAAAACAAGGTCGTTTTAGCCGAGGCTGGTAAGGATTTTGTTCAAGTTCTCTTCAGTTTTTTGACATTACCAATGGGAACAATCGTCCGACTGCTTGGGAAGCATCAAGTCTCTGAGCCAGTTACCGTTGGATGTATTAGCAACCTTTATACAAGTGTTGTGGACATGAAAATTGATGATTTTGAGACTGAAGCTTGTAAGCAGATGTTGCTTTATCCCAGGAATTACGTTAGGGAAGCTCAATGCAGAAAGTTTAAGCTCAACATAAACCCTACTGAAAACTTCAAGTGCTTTGGGTGCAGCTCTTTCCCTAGCTGCTCAATGTGCAGTAATTTTAACACCTCCCGATGTAGGTGCGGTAAGTTGATGACCAGGGAGATTGATTTACTAGAAGATGAGGAGGTCATTGTAGGCATCATGCAAAATGATCTCCGTGGAGTATTTATCAGAGACAGGTCGTCATTTATCATAACCGACGACTTAAAACTGACAGTTGACTCTACTAGTTCTCTCTTGCAAACGCTCAAGGCTCTTGGTTTTTCTGATGTTAGTAAGCTGAGAGAACGGGTTCTTGATATCGGTCTCAAAGAGGTTATTTCTTCTCTCTTATCTTTTCTTATGTTTCTACTAGTAACTTACTATAATGCTTAGCTTATAATGTGTTTAAGAGCTCTCCTCACTCTACATCTTGATCCTGATCTAGGTTTTGACTTTGCTGCGATGTGTATTCTCCTCAAGTTCTCCCTTGACAGACACTTTCTTGAAGAATCAAAGTTTACACAAGGTGAGGAAGATTTATAAAAGGCTGAGTCCATGCTTGGAGAAGAACGGAGATGAAGCAGAACAAGACAAAGTAATAACTTTTGATGCAATAGTAAGGAAACAGGACATGAGGATTTTGTATGTTGAGTGCCGTGAAGACTTTGTTGATCTTCTTTTAACTTTTCTCGCCATTCCACTGGAATCTATATGGGAAGTCTCTGGCAACCATATTAGTTTAGGATGCGTTGGGAACTTAAGCAGAAGCTTCAAGGACTTGAGTGATAATGAAAGGACACAAGTGTCAAATCCGAAATTCGTGCTTCCGTATTACTATAGTTGCCAGAATCAGTTGCTCAATATCATCACTTTCAAACCACAGTTTTACGTAACCATCAATAGGGACATTTCCAGACCGTTGTGCTGTGTGACTACAAAGCCAACCTTTATACAAGTGAGTTTTATTGATCCAAAATACAATGGCCATCATTCAGTTTCAACAGAAGGTAGTGGTGGTTTCATGAAGAGAGATTCAAAGTTTACGGTATCAGATGATCTGGTTATTGCACCTAAGAACACTACTTCAACCTTTTGGGCATTAAAGAAGCTGCAGATTCACACTAACGATATAGAGGTGCAAAAAGTTAGCATCAGCAAAGCTCATGTATGCTTGTCTAAACCCCCCCTTTTTTTCCTCCTATAATATTCTCTGTTCTTGGTTAAACTTGATGGAACTTATCTCCAAATCAGGCTTTGAATCTGTTGAGAGCTTCAGTGGTGACATCCTCTGCTTTGAGCTCTGCTTTTGGGAATTTGATTGTAAAGAAACCCAAGGAAGAGAATGTTTCATGGAACCCGGTTTCAAAGAAACTAAAGGTAGAGACTTGAAGAAACACAAAGGTGGAGAGAATCTTGAGCTACTACTGATTGTTGATCTTGATTCCAGTCTCTTCAAGAATTAACATTGTTCAACCTAAAACTTCAACTTCAAAATTCACATTCTGCTAGATTCCTTGATTCTTACCTTTCTTGGGACTTAGTTTATTGGGGTTATAAACTCTTCGTTTTGAGCTGGTGATGACGAAGATTTTGTCAAGGTTTTTAGAGGTTTAAATCTAGTGAGAGGGTCTTTTACACAGAGATCAGAGAGACAAATTTAGTTTGGTTCACCATTCTGAATTCTGATAGCCCCTCACTCCTGAGACGAAAACGACGCCGTTATTATGATTCTCAACGATCCTGATATGGATCCGGTTTTAATTGGACTAAGTTTTTTTTATAAGTTTATAGTCGACCCATGACGGCCCAAATAAATGTTTTCAGAAAAAGCCTAATATCGAATTCATGACGGTTTAATTACTTTATAACTATCAGAACATTTTTCTAATAGATTTGAAAAATTCTTAAAAATCATTATGTAATTCTTAAGAAACCGAAATATTAAATCCAAACTTTAACTTAAACCATTTTTAATCTTTGATTACGCATTTAGTAAAAAAGAAAACCATGTATGTATATAGTTTCCCGCTTCTCTCCACTGTTCCTCTTCCTCGACGTTCACTGTTTACAAACCCTAAGTCCTATCGAGAAAGAACAATTGCCCAATTCATTGTCAATTTTCAACCTTGAAGAAGAAAATTAGCTAAAAAGGTACAATCTTTTGTAGCGATTTGTTGAATGATTCATAAGGACTTGTTCGTTTTCCCCTCCTCTCTTGTTTTCTCGGATTTTCTCTAGAATCTACAACGCAATTCTCTTTTTTTTTTCCAGAAATTGATCGGTTTGTAGTTTCCTCTGTCTCTAAGCAAAAAAACCCATTCTTGTTTTGCGATATTACTCTTATCTTCTTCTGAGATTTCTGTTCACTGTTAGCCTCATTGCGTATTTTAGCACATACGAACCGAATCCGCCTTGTTCGTTTTCTTGTTTCCGGTTAAAGATTATAGATTGATCTGCATGTGTGAAATTCTTACCTTTTTGTCACAAACATGGCTCTGATTTTGGGTGACTGGCTTGATTGCTCTGTATGTTTAAAACTTTGACCTGTCTTTGAATTTTATCAATGCAGATTTTGAATCCAAAGATGTCAGATGATTTGGAGAATTCGGTGATTAACTTGAAGCTACTCATAGATGAAGAGAAAAACAAAGTTGTATTCGCTGAGGCTGGTCAAGATTTCGTCGATATACTCTTTAGCTTTTCGACTTTGCCTATGGGAACAATTGTTAGATTGCTGGAGATGCATCACAAGTCAAAGGCAATAGCCGTAGGTTGTTTCAATAACATCTATGGGAGTGTTGTTAGTATGGGAATGAAGCATTTCAGTACTGAAGCTTGCAAGCAAATGCTTTTGTATCCGGGGAGTTTGAATCAGGAGAAATGTCAAAAGATTAAGCTGAAGATTGATGATTCCGAGGCTACTAAATGTTTCATGTGCCCTATGTTTGTGCGAAGCGGACAATGCAGCAAAGGGTATAGCAATTTTAATACCTCGAGGTGTAGCTGTGGGAATTTGATGGATGCAGTGATTCAGTTTCAAGGAGAAGGAGGCCGAGGAAGCGTGGGAAAAGGTGTTGAAGGTGGAGTATTTGTGAGGAGTGGTAATACTTCATTCATAATCACTGATGATTTGAAAGTGGAAGTTAACTCAGTTGGGTCAACACTTAAGGTTCTTAAAGATCTTGGCTATGCAGATTGCGATAAGTTGGTTGAAATGATTCTCGAGGTTAATCTCCAAGAGGTATGTTTCTTCTTCTACTACTACTACTAGTCTACTAGACTTTACCCTTCATTGTTCTTAAGCCAGTTTCTTGTAATTGTTTTAGGTAGCGACTTTGCTGGTGTGTTTATTCACATCGGATACTCCATTGAGCGATACATTTCTGAAAAAGAAAAGCTCATGTGGTATGAAGAGGATTCATAAAACGCCGAGTCCTTCTCTCAGTGAGGATAGAGAGGAAACAAAAGCTGATCAAACGATAACGCTGAATGCATATGTTAGGAAGGAAGAAGGGAGCATTCTATATGTTGAATGTGGTGAAGACTTTGTTGATCTTCTTTTCTCTTTTCTTGCTATGCCTCTGGAATCTGTATGGGAAATCTCGGGCAGAGGAATCATCCTTGGATGCATTGGAAACTTGTGCAAAAGCTTCAAGGATTTGAGTGTTGATTCCGGAAGAGAAGCTTCAGCTTTTAAATGTGTTCTTCCTCATTACTACAAGTGTCAGAAGCAGCTGCTAAATGAGGTTGTCACTACCCAGCAGCCACCAACTTATTACCGTTTTGTATCTTTCTCTGTGGATCATTTTAGAGAGTACTGTTTGTCTGAAAACTCTGGTAAGCGACTTGTGTATGACTGGGATAAACTCGTGCCTGTGACTTCGATAGACCCAAAAAAACCCGAAGGCAACGACACTGCTGAATCAAGTGGATTTGTGAAGAGAGGGACAAAGTTCATGGTGACAGATGATCTGATCATCACTCCTTCGAACTCAACCTCAACCATTGGATTCTTAAAGGAGAAACAGACCCGACTAGATGAAGTGGAAATACGAGTGATCAATATGACAAAAGAAGAGGTAAAAGCTTGTCAAAGAGATTCTTTCTTTGATTGCAACGTACATATTACAAAATTACATATTTACATTCATCGATCTTATATATGCATTTGCAGGCCATCATATTATTGGGAGCTTCAATGGTGACATCCTCTGCCTTAAGCACTGGTCTGCTAGCTATAGAATCAGCTTCAACAAGTGATCCTCAATGCCGGTTCTTTAAGAAGCCGAAGATTGAGTCTGAGACTGAGACTTGAGAAGCAATGTTCAAACCAAAGTTCATGTTCTTGCTAGATTTGATCACTAGAGAATCTTTTGTTTAAGCATCTAACTGTTTCAATTACTATATTAGTTTTTTTGGACATCGACTTTGTCTAATCTTTTGAGTAGCATGTAACTGTTTGTCTGTTTCAGTTACTATAGTAGCATCTGACTGTTTTAGCATCTACTCTGTTTAATTTTTTTTAAGTACTCCTCGTTTTTTTTTTTTTTTCGCAAGACGTTGTAGGTTTCTAAAAAGGTTTATCTGATATGAAATGGCTCGAAGTAAAATTTGTAGTGTTGAAAAGGCTGTAAAATTTGTTTAAAGTTTTAATAGTCAAAATCCCTATTATTTTTAAAAATGAGTTTAAGTGATATAACGTGAAAACATGCCGAACTTTGAACACCAAAGCTTACGAACCAACTTTGAACACCAAAGCTTACGAACCAACTAAGGACGCAATGCCTAGGCGCGGTTAGTTTTCGACGTGTTTAAAATTTAACACTTAAACAAATTCTTAAAAAGTTTTAGTGAAATTAACATGATTTTAGTTAAAAACATTATTTTCTTGAAGTGTTAAAGTTTTATATTTTTAAAGTCAAAATCACTATTATTTTCAAAAATGAGTTTAAGTGTTAAATCTATATAACGTGAAAACATGCCGAACTTCGAACACCACAAAGCTTACGGACCAACTAAGGACGGGATGCCTTGGCGCGGTTAGTTTTCGACGTGTTTAAAATTTACCACTTAAACTAATTCTTAAAACGTTTTAGTGAAATTAACATGGTTTTAGTTAAAAATATTATTTTCTTAAAGTTAAATTAAATTTGTTTTAAATTTTAGTACTATGGTTTTTGTGAAAAAGTTTTAGTGAAATTAACATGATTTATTTAAGTGTTAAAGTTTTAAAATTTTAAAGTCTAAATCACTATTATTTTCAAAAATGAGTTTAAGTGTTAAATCTATATAACGTGAAAACATACCGAACTTCGAACACCACAAAGCTTACGGACCAATGAAGGACGGGATGCCTAGGCGCGGTTAGTTTTCGACGTGTTTAAAATTTTCCACTTAAACAAATTCTTAAAAAGTTTTAGTGAAATTAACATGGTTTTATTTAAAAATATTATTTTCTTAAAGTTGAAGTGTTAAATTTGTTTTAAATTTTAGTACTATGGTTTTTGTGAAAAAGTTTAGTGAAAAAGTTTTAGTGAAATTAACATGGTTTTAGTTAAAAACATTATTTTATTTAAGTGTTAAAGTTTTAAATTTTTAAAGTCAAAATCACTATTATTTTCAAAAATGAGTTTAAGTGTTAATCTATATAACGTGCCGAAC